TTAAATTTTCATTTTTTTCAAAATTTTAAGTTTATTCTTATATCTTTTTGTAAATTATATATTTAGATTTATACTAGGAATTTACTCTTTGCAAGAGCTTTGATATGTATGCGATAATTTGCATAATTTTTCTAAGACTAGTTCATTTGGTTTTGTTTATATTTCGTGGATTAGATAAAAGAGCTTGGATTTGGATTCAGCAAGCTTTTTTGGGTGTATTACATGATATGTTTTGAAATCTCTTAATTTTTAAAATGTTTTACATTTGTGGTTTATGCCTTTGGATTTATGGATTTATATAATTTTGTTATGCCTTTTGAGCTGATTTGCATGATATGTATGGTTATCGCACTTATTTTTTAATTAGTATATTAATATTCTTTTTTTTTTTGGAAATTGCTGGACTTTTTAATTATTTTTAATTAATCACCAGAGATTAGTGAAAGATATGTTTTGATTTGTTTCTTTCTTTTTTATTAAAGTTACATAATTTAGTATATTTTGTTATGTGTTATGGCATAACATTTCTTCCTTTTAGAGTTCGTTGTGGACATTAAGTTTTGTTTATAAATTTTCCATCCACTGTGATTGGATTCCACAAAATTTCGTAGGTTTCTCTTGGACTTTCTCTTCCTGCTTGCTTCTCTTTCGCAGTAATGGCTGCTCTCCCTTACTCTCCTTGAGCCTCCTTCTTCCAACTCCACGACCTCCTCCGCGCTTTCTCCCTTCCGTTCTCTTTTTCCCAGCTCCTTCTCCACCCCTTTCTCTTTGCTTTTACGGGCGGCAACGGCAGCGGCAAGTTCTCTATGTATTCCTTTTTTTTTTGGCCGTTTCAGTAACTTTTTCCGATTCCGCTTTGGGCCCGCATTCGCTTTCACCAAAAAAACCGTAGGCACACAAACAACAACAAATCGCACTTGAAATTATTTATTTAAGGCAATTAAGTTTTAATGCCAAAATTTGATGGGAGGAATTTACGCTGATTATCTCAGGCGGAGATTCATTAATCCGTATATCCTGGGATATATATCTCTTTGGCCGCTGCCGTTGAGCCCCCACACCCGTAAAAATAGCAAAGCAATGGAAATTATACAATCACTGGCTGGGCATTCGAAACTATGAATTTTCAGTGGCACTCGCGTTCGATGGATTTCTCGAATTGGTTTCGGAATTAACTGGCTGCGCCCTGCGGTATGCAGCGATTTATTTGTTTCACAATTCGAATGTGTCTCAGTTTGGCTTTTATTTGGGGTCTTTCACTGTATCTCTGGCCTGTGTTCGCTGCGTGTGGCTGAGTCGAAGTGTTTTCGTTTACTCAGGAGCCAGCGATGGCAGGCCATGAATTTTTCATCATCGGGCATCTTTATTAGAGATTTTCGCCCCATCTCGTTGAGATTGCTGCGCGCAGAGCCAAAAAGCATCCAAGAGAGAAAGACAGAGAGGGAGAGAGAAATTCAGAGAGCGCCCACACATGCATTTGCTGCTAAGGGCTGGTTATGGGTGTTGCATTAAAAAAAGCCCCCCAAAAAGGAATATCCAATATTTCTCGGCACTTGCATTTCTTTCAAGTTCCACCATAATCTCATTCAGGTATTTTTCCTCATACTTTTCCATACTTTTTCGGGGGTTGTTCGATGATTGGGGGGTCCGTGCGTTACTGTAAGGGGCGGCTTTTTGGGGGTGGCTTTATCATTATCTGTTTGTTTTTCGCTCTTCTCGTACACACAGCTTTTCTTTTGTCAGCGTAACGGACATGTCACTTTGACATTTCACGAATGAGACCGAGAAAAACTCAGAGAAAGAAAGTTTATTTATGCTGCGCAGTTGTTTGGAATATGGAAAACTCATACTTATAAAATGGTTGAGACATCGGCTAAGCGAAGAGATGCAAATGGTTGTTGTCTTGGGTATAATATCCGTTTTTGAATTTACCGATTAAAGCGAATTAACAACTTACTAAATGCGCCAACAGATGTCGCTTTCTTTTCTAACAGCGGCTTTTCAACTTTTTCGGCAATTCTGCAAGGAAAAGATAGGCCAAAACCGAGGAATCAATCTGTTACTTCAAAAATTGACATTTTCTAGTGGAATTTTTGGAGTCGAATTCAGCGTCCATACTCTCTGGTCGCCTATATTTACATGTTAAGCATTTATATTTTAGGAAAAACGTGTTGCATTTAACATATTTTATGTAGATAATTAAAAATAAAATAAATGTATTTTATTTATGACTTTAAACACAAGTGTTTGTTTAATTTATCTCAACAAGCCAACAAATTAAACCTTAAATAATAAACCATTTAATATATTTCACAAAAAATAATAAATAAATTGTTTATGAAATGAATTTAATAATTTTCTAATGGATTTTGTTCAGTCTGGGGAATAACTTTATTATGTTCCACCCTGGCTTCGTGCCCTATTCAGTTCCAAAATAAGGAAATTAAGAGTTATGTAAAACTTGGTTAATAATGAAATAAATAGGCATGTTTCATTTGTAATTATATGCAAATTTTAAACCATTTTCCATATTTAATTAGATAAGATTTTTATAAATAATTACCTCATCTTATTCTTAGCGAGGTAGTAATAATTTCCTTAATTTACATATATACATTCTTCGATAAGCTGTATAATCGAACTAATAGTACTAATTACCGACAGCTTTGACAAGGCAACAAAAATAACAAAATCAGCAAAAAAGATTGTTTGCTAAAAAACAATAGAAAAATCCCATTACATCGGGCTCTAACTATGTGTACTCCCATAAAAGCAGCCTATAAGCAGCAGTTCAGCTAAATGCAAACAACAAATTAAACCACCAAATAATAAGTTTGTAAGCGTCGTGTTTGCCAATTGCGGCGACATTTTTTATATTATTTACCAATAAAATCAGTCTCGTTAAACCTTCTTAAAAAAACTACATTTTAGACCCCCTGAAACATCTTTTTGCAATCTCTCTCTTTAATTTTGTCTTTCATAGCTTCTTGGATGACATCTGTTGGCCTTCCTGCCCGTCGTCCTAGCACAAGTATTTCTCCTTCCCAAATTCCTTTTCTTTTCTTTTTTTTTTTGGTTAAACTGAAAATCAATAAAAAGCTCAATGACGTCAGCCGTCCAGACACACACATAAGCACACTTACAATGTAAGAAGCCACATCGAAAAATGCTGGTGGCCATATAGCTCCTGGCTCTCCCAGACTCCGCCTGCCACTCCCTCCGCCCACGGGCTGTGCTCTCATCTCCGCCAAAAACCCAAATGCTCCCCCTCGTGCCCGCAGTGTGTGTGTGCCGGCGAGTGTGCGAGTGAGCGTGTGTTATGGAGCCGAAGACACTGCACGTGAGCAGGCTATCAGCAATGGACTAAGAATTTCGACAGCCAGAAACGCGTTTATCTCATTGTTTTCAGTTGTAATACAGAGAGAAATATCTTGGGCAATTTTAATCACATTTTTAAACGTTCTTGTCCCCTCAAAAAAAAGCAAACAAATTAGTTCAATGGTATAGCAATAAATGTAATGCCTAGACAGACTTAATTGTTTTACTTTAAATTTACCAACCAACAACATAAGTACACATTTAATCAGCTTTTTGCTATTATAGTTTTTAATGTTAATACAAAATGTTGCTTTTATAAAAATGTTAGATTTTTCTACAAGCAACCAGCGGGTTATTTTCCATATTCATTCGAACAATTCTATGGTATATTGGTAATGTATATTTTTCTTCGTGATTTTCGTTTCTATGTTGAAGGCAACCAACAAAAAGGAAATGCTCTGGGGCTAAAAATGGGCTGGAATGGAGTGGTTCTGACAATTTATGCCAAATCTTATGATGGCTGCGATAAGCTGGCAGATAAAAGCGAGAGCAGCAACGACAATTCAAGCCAATTGCGATATATGCAACAGAAGTAAACAAAGCTTTGTTGTGTGCTGGATATTTTTGACAAGTTCGTGATGTGATAAGATCTTGTTAAGATATTTGGTCGAACATTATCTTAAAATAAGTTTGAAATTACAAAGTGTAACTTATTAAATAGCAAATAGTAATTGGCTTATTTGGCTTCGAAATATATTTTATTTAAAAACCGTGTAAAGTTCAAGAAATCCACACTGCCGAGAGTTAATTGCATTTTTAAGGCCCATTGAGGCTCCAAATCGTTTCAATTATACGATATAAGTTTCACCCGTCAATTTCTGTTCCCCGAAGTATGCAATAAAAAGAGATTCGTTCCAATTTTGCTATACCTTCTCCAACCGTTCACCCCTAGCAAAATGCATTGAAAAATTGTTTTTTTTTGGGAAACAGCAGAGGGGTGGAATCCACACAACTCATTTCCATAAACACACACACACCACCCTGCTTGAAGAGTTGAATTTTATGAATATGCAACACGAGGTTGTTGCTTAATGTTTGCCCAAAACAACTTTATGAGCTTGTAATGCCCGAGGGGCGGATATATACGGGGAGTTGGAGGCGGGCGAACACACTGAGGCACACACACACAGACGCTAACATTTATTAGAGCAGTTAGTTTGTAGTAGGTGTTAAAATTGCACATGAAATATGAAAAGCCACTCATAACACTGAGAGAAAAATGTGCTCCCAATTGCCTGGTTAACAACTCCCTGGTCAATTCACCACGTTTCAGAGAAACGGAGAGGGATAGAGAGTGAGCTAGAGTCCCTGAGAGAGATATGGGGATAGCGAGAGAGAAATTCCTGAACTGCTGACGACAATCGAAGCGAATTCCTGATGTAGGTGGGCCAAATCGTGGGCTATATATCGCCAGCCAGCCAGCCAGCTCGCCAGCTAGCCAGCTTTTTCGGCTCCAGCTGCGGGTTCACTTTTCAGTCGTTGTCGTGCCGTCGTGATGTCGTTGCCGTCGTCGCATCCGTCGTCGTTGTCGTTGTTGTTGTCGTCGCACTCCATGTAGTTGTTGTTGGTGCAGCAAACAGCAACTACAACACAACAGCAACATCAGGCTTTAAGCGCCAGCAAACAACAATTAAACAAAAACCAACAAAACAAAACAAAAACGAAAATGAATTCACTGAACGGAAAATTAATTTGCGCATATGGAATGTTGCACACATAGATATAGATGTAGTCGTATATATACATATATGTATATTTGCCTATGTTATACACACACAAATCTACATAAATTCTAAGTGCAAACCAATTGTGATTTAAGCTAATGACCACAACCACAAATCAGCTACAAAAAAGTGTATAAAAATGTAAGAAAATGATGAATTTTTCATTGGATTTCCCTAAAAAAAAAAGATTGCTTCGTGTATTTTTTTCTTTCGTCGTTCGTGAGCAGCTTGCTTTTTTCTGTACACACAACGCCACGCAATCCCACCCAAAACTCTCCTCTCTCCGCTCTTTTTGCTCCTCGACTTCTCGCCTCTGCGCTCCTTTGTTGTGTTGGCCGTGATCTCGTCGTCGTCCTTTTGTCCAGAACTCGGTGCGGATGAACGCATTAAATATGCAGAAAAATAAAGCCACACACACACATTTAGAGCTGTAGTTAACTGCTGTCTTTTATCTTTGGGCCAAAGGAAAATTTCATTAAGGAAATGACTGGCAAAGAATTTTGTAACTATTTAAAACAATTCCCTTTGAAAGGGACGTGAATTCATTAATTTAATTCAGTTAAACAAGGAATTACTATTAGTGCGGATGAAAAGTCGAGTGAGAGAGGTAGCTAAAGAGAGAGTTCACCACCCGCAGTCAACAATAAATAAATCTGTTAACATAATTATAAAAAACTTAAGTTAATGTAAATTCCCAATTAGTTCTAAAAGTTTAAAAAAAAAAATCAACAAAATCAAACTAAATATTTTGTTAAGTACTCCAGTGCGTATGATTAACTTGGCTAACCCAAGATGGCCTTTGGCCTACGTTTAGTGGAAAACCAGTATTGTCAAAATAACATCCCAGTATTTCCTGTCAGCTGCAGTGCCATCGCTCACTCGCTCTCTCTCCTCTTTTTCTCTCTTATTTCCAAAGTGGCGTGTGTGTGTTTTACAACAATAGAGGCAGCATGCAACATAATTACAACTCAACTTCAGTTTTACACTTAGACGATAAGCGAAGCTCGCTAGAGAAACAACAATTTACGAGAGCCGATTTAGTGATTACCGAGAAATACATATAACTTATAAAAAGCCATAACAAATATCTTTCTATCAAGCAGTTTTCAAGCTTATTAACTGAAAATCCACGAAAGCCTTGTAAATAGCAAAACAAAATAACTGAAGAACAAAACTCTTTTCTTATTGATAATACCAACTGAAAATGAAACCAAAGAAATTAAAAATCTAAGATTAACCATTTAAAAAAACAACGAATGAACAGACAACGCCGTTTACACAACAACTTGATAGAGAAATAATGCCTGTAAGTTCAACCAAATAATGGTGAAATTAATGTTGTGGTAAGGTAATTTAAACCGTGCACAGATTAGCTAGCCTCTATATATTTCGAAATCAAAAATCATAAATCAACAATATCCAAAGTTATTCCAAACAATGACGAACAATGGCCAGAAAATTGTCACAACATATAGAGCAATTTTGCCCCTATTCGCTCTTGTCTCCAATTGTCTTCTCTTCTGTGCCTGTCACTGCTCTGTTTACTGGCTACAATGAATAGTTAAACGAGTGTGTGGGTGGTCGATGCTCGGTGCCATCGATGGGCGTTAAATTTAATTAAAAGGTAAACTAGTAGCAACAGCAACAGGCATCCACTTTGAATCGACTCTTCATTTCAGTTAATTCAGTTGGCAAATGGCGAACGTCACTAGGCAACAGCGAATCGGGGAATCAGTGGTTGGGGATAGGCCTATTGCCTTATAGACAAATAACGGTAATGACGACACAAGCTCCCACACTTAAATCTACACTCGCCAAGTGAACCAAAATGGACGTCATAAATGTTTGACAATGCACACGAGGCGTATGAGTAATGGCATCCAGGCACATTAAGGGTCTTTGTTGTGTGGATACAAGTAGGCGCGCATGTGAGAGCACCCTGCTGGTTGGTTGGTTGGACATCATTGAAACAACTATCCATTGACACTGCCCCCCTTCTCCCCCCAGTGCTTTTTCCCCCATTTTTGTGGGGGTCAATGGGTGCATGAAATTGCTTTTTATGCTTCGATGTCATTGCTCGCCCCTTTGCCTCTTTTCTTCCCTCCTCGAAACATATTCAGTGACTCTTGTTGGGCCAACTTTTAGCTATATTCCCCCTACCCAGTTGACAAGTTTTTGCCACTGTTTTGTCGCTCATATTTGTTTGCCGTTAATTGCATGGAAATTGTGCGCGCAATTGAAAAAGTTGAACAAGCTAACCGACATTGGCATTGTTCCAGCTTTCCGTTTCCGGGAAGAGCACAGATATCCTTTTTGGCATGGCCCACCACACTCGAGTCAACGACTTTTGTTGGGCCGGGCACCGACTATGAATGAATAAGTGCAATTATGGACTATGCCTGGAACTAGGCAAAACAGTCATGAATCAACGGCCAGCCACGAAAGTAAAGCGGTCATTAGTCAGGCTGACGGGGAAAGCCCTAAGACGTTCCATTTGGCAGGCCACCGCAAAAAGTCACCAAGTCATTGCCTCGTTTATAGTTTTTGGCTGCAACAACAAACGGCAACTTGGCCACGTTTTCCCTTATTGCTCTATTCAGGGTGTGCTTGTATGTGAAGCGAAGTCCATTGCACCCGTCGGCTCAAATGGCTGACGCCATGAAAATTACGCACGCTCCTTCAGTTATCTGCATAAATTTCGAGCGATCTCCGTGGGCAGCGTGACGTCACGGGGAAAACAATATATGGCACGATAAGAAAACCCCCCGTTGACAGGTGATGTCAGTAAATAAATGACCCAGTTGCTAACCAAGCAACCAGTTGATACTTTGCCCTTTAAGTATATAAAAGTGAGTGCAAAACTACAAGACACGTACAAATTTAAAGTGAAATGAGAAAGGCTATTCTGAGAATTAGGTAATTGGAATTAGAAAGAAAGCATTCACGAACAGCCATAGATAGAGTTTCCTTTATTTTTCTTAGAACGGGCCCAAAATGTAAAACTTTTTGAGCTTCGGAAAGAGTAAACAATTTATTTATCATATTTAATTAACGGCTTAGACAATACAATTTGAAGCAAATTTATTGCAGAAAAAGGAAACAAAACTTTTTAAAACAAATTAATTGCTTTTGCTTAACATTTTTTTTGTTGCCACATTAAAACAGTTCATCTTTCAATTCACCGTTAAAACTTTAAAAATCCAATTTATGTGGAATAATGTATCTTTCTACGAACTTATTTTATAAAAGAACATTTTTCGTTAGAATACTTTCTACCGATTGAAACTTAATGAAATATAATGTTATTCTAATATATCTAATGTATTCATAGTATTCTATGAAATGCTTTTTTTTTTTATAAAAAAAACCATACAAATCTTATTGTTTATAAAGTTATTGTCGCACCATATAATCGCACCTTATGTGAAACGGATTTCTCAAAGGTGTGCTTCTTGGCTTAAAAATAACTAATTAAAATTATTTAACCATATATTTCCAATAGTTAATTGCGGTTAGTCTTTATGTAGCAATTTGACCTTTTGCGTGATGGCTTTCTTGTGTTTCTTTCGACTTTAACTGCTCCGTGCTCTTTCTCAGGCTTTTCAAATGCATTTCCGATGAGGTTCCCTTGCCGCTGGGCACATTGTTGTTGCCGCTTCTGTTTCTGATTGCAGTAGCTAATTGAAAGTGTCAATTATCAGCTGGGCAGGGGCAGTTGCACTTGCTGGCAGTGAACTTTCACATTTGTGCCAGTGCCATTGCCTGTGCACTCCCATGTTCTGGTGAGCCATTCCCTTAAGTTGGCCGCAGGGCGTATGCGTAATGTAAAATAACCTTGGCCAGTGGACAAGGAATGCAGAATGTTCACCCAACGCTGCCTCACCCCTGCATTTTTCATTATTATTATAATTCATCCTTGTGCCTGATAAGTTTTCCCTCTGCCCTGCTTTGGGGTTTTCTATTGCTGCGCTTTTAATGTTGCCATAGTAATTGCTATTGTTGTTGTTGGTGCTGAGTTCGCGCGGTCAGCGCATAAAATTTCTATCTACTACGAAGCAGGTGGCTGGGAAATTAACAAGGGGATATTCGTGGGATTTTCACTCACTCTCAGCAGTTAACTTGTTAGCGCCCTCGCAAGCGCGCGCATTGAGAGGAGTTCGTGGTGAATTTGTTAACCGCTCGCTCTCTCGTCCACTTTCTCCCACTTTTTTCCCCCTCTCATTTGATATGCTGATTTGTGTGTTTTCGTAGCTTTATTTGCGGGAACTTTCGGCGAAGTAAAGCAAAAGGAAAATCAAACTTATCTTAATCAATTGATTGAAGAGTCGCAAGATTGATTTCGGGCATTCAAATTGGTCCTGCATGCTGAAAGCAGGTCCCGTGTCCAAAGCTCCCGCGATGTCCTGCTCCGATGTCCCCATAAAGCAGCCACTTAAGCCCCACAGCCCGCCTCAACGCAGCCATCAATTTTGCATGTCACGTTGGCGCTGTTGTTGCAGGACATGCTGCATCTGCTGCATTATCAATTCATGAGGCTCCGCTGAAACACAAGACACCATACACCATACACAAGATACAAGATACACGCCATCGCCATCGCCGGAGGACCTTTCTGAATGGCAGCATAAAGCAGGCCCATAAACACCATGGAAACTGGATTTTATCTCGCTTGAACTACATAAGTTATAGGCCAAGAGGGGGTTGCAGCTGCACGGCCAAAAAAAGGGACCTACTGCAACTCCAGAATATTTTAAAAATTGAGCTTAATGCAGAGTAAATTTCGACGCAATTTTGGATTTATATATATATCTACGCTTTGAGTCATTTTCAAAGGGATTAGAATTCATTCAATATATTTCATTTAAATACTCAATTAATCAGATTATAGATGACAGAAGGCTTGTATTGAATTGTCAATTTTACCCTTTTTCAACCATTGTCGTTGTGTTTCTGAGTTTTATATGACTCATTTTGAAACGTCTTTGAATTAATAGAGAATTGTAATAATTGAGCTACAATTATATATGCCAAGAATATAGTGACCTTATTCAATAGCAATTACAACATAACTCATAAATTGTTTGCTAAAAGATTTTAAAGGGAGTTGAACAAGTATTTTTTTCTTTTCTGCAAAGCTGCGAATTTGTGTTTCCATGCCCTAAGGATGCGCCATAAATAAGCTATAAATACCCATTAATGAGAGAAATCAAATATTTCATGTAGTTGATGATTTGACATGGGTTTTAATGTTTTCTTTACTTAATTTGATTAAAACTGAGCGCAACCAGTACATGAAGCCTTGGGATGTTATTTGTTTTAGGAATTGAAAGTTGTTCACAGTGGTCCGAGGGTCATAACCAATGCCCACTTGGGTTGGACATCTCCGACCTGCTGCTACTGCTGCAATATTCATGCAATCAAAGCCGCTCCAGTTGCAATATGCTTCTACTGCATCTACTTTCAAATAGGATTAAAGGTCAATATCCTTTCTAAGTTGCCTATCAGCCGGGCATTTAATCACGATGACTTGGATTGCTTCCTGGCCTATTGAATGCTAATTTCGTAGGCCTTTCAACCGAAGGAAATGAGGCGCATGAAAGCATCTTTTGCCCCCCAGCAATTGAAGTGCCTGCTTCCGGTTGCACTCTGCAGTCTTCTAACGGGCTTGTCTATATAAATATCCGAGTCTACCCTGTGTTCTTCCGTCGGGCCAGGCAATCTCCTCTTATGCCTGCGTGTTTGCGTGGCCACTGAGGAAAATAAATACATTGGTTAAATGTCCTGTTAAATGAAATATGTAAATATATATAAATATCATCACAAAAGTATTAACTAAAATATAATTCTTTTTTCCCGGATTCAGTAATCATTTTCAAAAAAAAAGTTTGTAAAGTTTCAACATATTTACGAAGAAACACAAATGTGTTAAAAATTTATGGACAGTGATCATATTTTAGTTTGGATCGTAACATTATTGATTTTGGAGAAACATTACAATGAACATTTAAAAAAATTTTTTTAGTATTATTTTAAGTGTGTTTGTACATGGCCTCGTTTATATTTTCGCATTTTGTCCGTGCGTCACCGTGTCAACCGCAGTGCCCCGTGGCCCCTTTTGCCTTCCCCCTCGACTTTCGTTCCTCGTCCTTCGACCCTCTCCATCTCACCAAAGGGGCTTGCCCGGTTTTGCGGCTGGTTGTTTGCCCTGGCACGTTGATGGCCATAAATACAGTTACATATGTTTGCATTGCGGCCAGATACTGACCACCCCTGGCACCTCCCCTTCCTCTTGGGGACCACCCCTTGAGCCTGCTTTGCCCGCACTGCTCATCTCGTTAAAAATCTCATTTCCTACTGGCTTTCTTTTAGTTTGTTTGTTAAATTTCGCATTGCAACGAGATTTAATTAAATGTGAACTGTATTTAGTGGCAAGTTAATCGGTTAATATTAAGATATTTCGAGTTTTTTAGAAATATAGGATTTACATTATTTAAATTTAGTGTAAGCAGACATTTTGGATTCCATTTCTCCTTTATCTTGTTTGCAGTGCTAAACAACTGGATGCTATACACTCCCTTTAAACCGAGTGGACGATCTCAACGCAAAAATGGCACCGCAACATCATCAACATCGGCAGCAACAGCAACAAAGGACGCAACTTACTCGGCAAAGGCTGCAGCAACACCAACAGCAACAGCAATTAGAAACAACAGCAAAGGCCCGGCAACGATATAGAGCGGTGGAAAAATGAAACAAAAGCCAGAAACGAATTTTCCACTCAAATTTGCATTCAGCCAAAGAAATACAAAAGTCTAAACAAAGAGGAAGGAAACAACACACAAACCAGAGCACAATAAGAAAGTCGCCAGTGGAAAGGGGTCAGAGGGCACGCACACAAACACACCAAAACACACAGGAGCAGACCGCAACACAATCACAACCATACGGAGCACATAAAACAAATTTAACACACGGACACACAGGACGACAAGTGCAATGTGAACAATTTTCAACGAATTTCCAAAAGTCTACAAAACAAATCTAACAAAAGTTCATTACAAATAACAAACCATAAGACATTTTGAAATTTGCTCTGTGATTTTCTATCAGAATGGTTTATTAATCCAAATTATAATAATACAAATATTTAAAAACATAAAGTATTTATAAATATTGCTTAACTGCGTTCCAAGCAAGAGAGAAAAGTTTATCGAATCCCCAAAGAAAAGCTTTAACTCCAACAGAAAACGTAAACCAACAATTTCTGTAAATATTTAATACTCTGCGACTAATTAGACCAGCTAGTGCTAGTCAAATAACTTCGATCATAGCCACATTTCCACTAGAGGACAACCCAGACCGAAGCCATGGACGAAATGCCCGACCTGTCGCACCTCACGCCCCACGAGCGGATGCAGATCGAGAATGTCCTTATGCGACAGAAGCAGGAGGAGGAGAAGCAGAACGAGATCATGCGGTGAGTAAAAACTCTACAGGAGTGGTCAGAAGTATTTACACAATTCATTATTCATTCTTTTGACCATATTTAATATTTAAATAATTCGGTGTGCTTCAAAAAACTCTTTTACATAAACTAACTTACACTTTTTATGGTTGTACGGTTAAATTTCTGGAGTCTATAGCTTTTTGAACTATAATTAAAACAGTTCTCACCGAACATAAAATGTAATAAAATTTCGTTTCAAAAAGCATTAATAATTTGTGTTTAATATGTTTGATATTCTTATATGCAGCCTACCAGAAACATTTTAACGTTAACCTTAAGAATTAGAGCAAAAGGTATAAAACATTACATAATGCTTAATGTTTAAACAGCATCATCTGTATTCAAATAACCAAATAGTTACTATAAAAGTTTATTACCGTTTATAATCTACAAAATGTTAAACCTAATGTTTTAAAAAATCGAGAAAAAAAAACAGGACCGGCTTTTCCATTATTAAACAGATATTTATATATATATTTTAAATATTTTTATACCCTTGCAGAGGGTATTATAATTTCAGTCAGAAGTTTGCAACGCAGTGAAGGAGACATCTCCGACCCTATAAAGTATATATATTCTTGATCAGCATCACTAGTAGAGTCGATCTAGCCATGTCCGTCTGTCCGTCCGTCTGTCCGTCTGTCCGTCCGTTTATATGACAACTAGTCTCTCAGTTTTAAAGCTATCTGCATGAAACTTTCCCAAAAGTTGTCTTTCTATTGCAGGTAGTATATAAGTCGGAACGAGCCGGATCGGACGACTATAGCATATAGCTCCCATAGGAACAATCGGAAAAATAAATGAAAAAAATTATAACTTTGCTGTTTTTTAATTTTTTGTTTAGTTCTTCGACATTTAGTAATGGTTAAATATTTTCGATTTACGGTTTAAATTTCATCAAAATCGGACGACTATAGCATATAGCTCCCATAGGAACAATCGGAAAAATAAATGAAAAAAATTATAACTTTTCTGTTTTTTAATTTTTTGCTTAGTCCTTCGACATTTAGTAATGGTTAAATATTTCCGATTAACGGTTTAAATTATATCGAAATCGGACGACTATAGCATATAGCTCCCATAGGAACAATCGGAAAAATAAATGAAAAAAATTATAACTTTGCTGTTTTTTAATTTTTTGTTTAGTCCTTCGACATTTAGTAATGGTTAAATATTTTCGATTTACGGTTTAAATTATATCAAAATCGAACGACTATAGCATATAGCTCCCATAGGAACAATAGGAAAAATAAATGAAAAAAATTATAACTTTTCTGTTTTTTAAATTTTTGTTCAGTTCTTCGACATATAAATATTTCAGAATTATGGTTCAGATTTTATCAAAATCGGACGTCTATATCATATAGCTCCCATAGAAATAATAAAAATATATAAAATAACTATCAAATAATTGAGCTGCTAATCATCATAGCTTCAATGTTTTTAAACATATACGCAGTAAATCATAATTTTAATGTTTTCAAAAATGTTAAATTCTTGCAATATCTGGAAGGGTATATGAACTTCGGCTTGCCGAAGTTTTCTTTCTTTCTTGTTTTATTTTGTTTATCACTTCATTTTAAGGAGTATCTCTTATGATTGCGATTTGGGACTTTAAAGAACGAAATGCGATTTATTTCTGACATTTTTTCTATCTCTCCTTTGCAGGCGCAAGCAGGACGAGGTGGTAACGCTGGAAATGCAAATCAGACAGCGCTCCGAGCAGCAGAAGAAGGCTGGCGTCGAGCTGGATGCCACCTGTCACATATGCCTTAAGACCAAGTTCGCCGACGGCGTTGGCCACATTTGCCACTACTGCAACATTCGCTGCTGCGCCCGGTGCGGCGGTAAGGTGACGCTGCGCAGCAACAAGGTGAGTTGGCCAAAGGCACCGTATCCTTTGCCATCCATTGCATTGGGCTCGCGCCTTGTGACAGTGTGTCCTGCCTTCGGGCTTACACACTCGTCGAAACGCGCGTGACAGCGGCAAAATGGGGTTTTCTTTTTGCCTTAAGGGGTGTCGGGCTCATTTTCCGCTCATTGACAAATAGGACAACGCTGGTGCCAACATTACTGGCGACCCGTCTGCCGCTCGACTAAGCAGCCATCACTCATACGCCCCATTGCCACATCGTCAACGCCATAGGCCAACTTGTCGCTTGTTGCCAACTGTCCCCAGTGTCGCGTTGTTGGATTGGGCGCATGAATAAATGCCATTGTAGCCTTGTTGAGCGCCATCGCAGTCTGGATAATTGGCGATGGGCGAGTGCGAGTGGGTGGTGCGGAGGACATCCTCCTCGCCAGTATCTTTCCTCTCACACTCATAATTTACAAATAATTTTTAGTTTCAAGCAATGACTCTGGTCAAGGATATGAGATGACGGAACTCCATGGGGGGCCAAAAATCCATCCCCGATATAGTTTATAACCCAATAACTTTCTTAGCCCTAAAGATACATAATATTTTTCTATGGGGGAAAAGATTTATATCTTCCACAATTGTTCTTAGCCTAAGAGATAAACCAATATTATACAATAAATTCTCATTATATAGAAAAAGATTTTATTTTTAATAGGGGCTAGCTCATTAATTAAAGCTGATCGAGTTACTTTAGAATATGGAGAGCTTTAAAAAGCCCTATATCTATTAACGCACAGAAATAAAAAATCAAATAATAACAAACCCAAGTGCTAAGACCAAAGTTGCTCATTCTCTTAAGATATATTTATTTATTAAGTTGAGTAAATGTCGCTAATGTCTTGAATAGCCTATTTTTCTATTTAAATTTATACCAGTCCTCACCAATCAGAAACATGGTCGCTTAAGACAAGTTATTTTCAGTCCATTCTATTTATTTTGGGGCACCTTAACGAGCAACCTTGATAGCAGGTTATCTTTTACTGGCATTGGAGAAAGTTCCCTTCGCATTCCCTTTTTGTAAGTCCACTCTTTCATCCCTTCGCCTCCACACAGCATTGCATTTCAATTACACTTTTTTCAATTTTTATTTAACTCAGTGAACCGTTTCCTTGGTTGTTTCCCCCTTTTTTTTTTGCTGCACAAGCTTATCATTTTCTGGCCGTGCTGCCAAACGTTATTCCGTTGAACTTCTGCCAAAATGTCACACACACAAACACACTCACATTCCCAAAAAGGCCAGATGTGGGCTAAGAAGTGAATACCAGAGCACAAAAAAATGAAACGACTGCGAACAAATGCCAAATGGAATTTCAATTTGGCTTTGACACGGAATACAGGCATCTTCTTCAGGGAAATGTCGCTGATCTAGAGGCGCGGAAGATGAGCGACAGGTGGATCCAGCGGTAACACTGCGTCTGCTGATCGTCCTGAAACGGGGCCATCAAGTTCACGTTGCTGAACCCCGCGAAATACTCTCTTCGTCTGCGCTCCACGTAAGTGGTCAGAAAGATACACCCTCTCAGAAGCTCGTACGGTCTGCTGAAGTAATAAATCAGCCTGGTATCCTCACCGTCAACGCCTTCAAAGGCAAATAGTATGGAGCCTAAAATCAGATTTAGGAACTCGTCCATGGCAGAGCCTGGTTGCAAAATTTGAAAGGCTAGCGGAGTGCACGTGTAAATTTCCGGTAGATTGCCGGAACTATGTGTGTCCCAGTCACTGAAGCACTGGGAAAGTCTAGAATGGTTTCAATCTTTTGACATTTCTAGGAAAGGGTGGGTGCTGTAACCTTCCGAAAATTGTTGCCAACTCGCGGGCGTGACACCAATACTCCCAGGAACTTAAATGCTGGTCAGGTTGCTTATTGTGCTGTAAATCCCTAAACATGAGATTATTTGGATATCTTTTAAAATGATACGCGAATTTTTTTTAAATAAAATTTTAGGAATGTATCCTCATTTAAGATCAGTATTTATTGCTTTTCAAGGATCTATAGTAGGATCTACATATATTATATTTTATTGACTGACGTAAAAAAGTAGTAATAATTTGAATTTGTAAAAGCTTGATATGGTCTTTCTCTAAATAAATAAAAAGATGATGTTTTCCAATTTAACTCTCCTTTTTAAATTGCAGGTAATTTGGGTGTGCATACTGTGTCGCAAGAAACAGGAGCTGCTGTCCAAGACTGGCCAATGGATCAACAAGACGGCGGCCCAACAAGACGGTTTCATCCGACGCATCGAGCCGGATGGGAGCAGCGTGAGTAGACCTGCCCGCTTTGGCCGAAGGCAGCAGATCACGGCTTATTGTAACCAACAGGACATCTCACAGCATCCTATCGTGGATCCGCACGACACTACGGACAAGCGGCCCAAGCTGGAAAGGACTCGCAGTGCCGCCGAGAAGGAGAATCTGCCGATGCAGCGGGCGGGCAGTGTGCTGAGGCGCCAGTACTCGCAACAGGAGCAGCCCACGAACCGCCGGCTCTCGGCCACCGACAGCGGCATGGACCCCATGATGAGTCCTGGCCAGCAGCAGCAGCTGCAGCACCACCAGCAACAGATGCAGCAGCAACGATCCCGCATGCAGCCAATGAATCCGCAACAGGCGCAGCAGGGATACGGAATGCAGCAACAGCAACAACCAAGATCGGGTGGCGCATATCCCGACGATGATCCGCGTTGCTATCAGGTAAGCATGTTAGGAATTATAGGCTAAAGATACTATAGTGGTGGTGCCACAGAAACAACTAGACCTAGGAATTACTAGTTTCCAAGACAGACGTGAACAAAATACTTACTCACTGATTTATCGTACTGCAGGGCGAGCTGGACGGTCTGATGAGGCAGCATCCCCACCTAGCGCATCCCAGCCAGGTGCAACCGTCACAGCAGCAGCAATCGCAGCACCAGCAGCATCAGCAGCAGCAACATACTATGCCGCAGCAGCATCGCCAGTCACCCCAGCAACATCCCCAGCAGCAGCAACAGCAACATTCGCAGCAATTTGCGGTCAGGCAGCAGCAGCAGCATCAACAGCAATCGTACCAGGCACAAATACATCAGCAGCCGCAGCAGCAGCCGCAGCAGCATCCGCATTCGCAGCAGCAGCATCAGCAGCTGCAGCAGCAGCAGCATGGACAGCATGCACAGCAAATGCCGCAGATGGGTGGCTACCAGAAGCCGCCACCGTTAACCCGCAACCTTACCATCAGCGGTGGTCATGCGATGGACTCCAGTGCCTACAGCCAGCAGCAACAGCAGCAGCAACAGCGACGGGCGCTGGCGGGATCTCAGTACGCGACGCAGCAGCAGAGGTCCTTCAGCAGCTCTGAGGAGGAGTTCCAGCACCAATTGCTGGCCGCCCAGGCGCAGGCAGTCGTGGCGGGGGGCGTGGCCACCGTGACCGCCGGATCGGACTATGACGGTGAGTTGAGACGTTTTGTCCAATTCGCATCCAGCTCTTGCCTTCTCTATCTCTGCTCTATACTTCCCTCAGACCGCCCAAACGGTCCTCTGATCCTTGTTCTTCCCGACTATCTCTATCACTGCCATTTTTTCCGCTCTGATTATCCCGCAAGGCCATGCCCCGAAATCCAATTCCATTTTAAAATTTCCTATATAATTCACTATTCTCCCTCTGTCTATATAAACTGTCCTTGACTCGCTCGCTCAACAAATTCTTTATCCCGAAAAAATAAATCTTTCGAAAACGTAGCACTTTCTTGTCTCACATTGGTGCGTTGTCTTTTTCTTTTTCTTCAACTCCTTTGCGAGATCCAATATTTGATGTTTTTTTCCTAAACAAACTCAAAAATCATTTTTGTTTTGCATCACTTTTTCGGCGTATTTTTAATCCGTGTATATATATATGTTTAATTTTTCTATGTCTATTAAACTCATCTAATAAGTTAACTTTAAGCTCGATTTAAGGCCTTAAGTTCGATTTAAGCTGGCTAAGGAAACCCCTAAATTTGCGCTTTGTCCAATATAAATGTTAAAGCTGCTGAAATGGAAAAGTTTTGCCAAACATTTTCCCCGCAATAGGAAAAACGCAACTTGCATGCCGGGGGTTATAAAAATAGAGAGCGCACTAACCAACACGCCCACTCACACACACGTGCAGCCAGAGGGTGGATGGGGGGAAAAGCGAGGAAACGCAAGGAAAATCGGAGGAAAAAAGCGAATGGCGAGGAATGTTTTGTAGCGGAAACATTTCGATGCGCTTATCTCGGGGGCACTTGACTCGGCGCTCGACAACAGCCAGCGAATGGAAAGGAAAATCTGAAAAGGGTGCAGAAATGGGTGGGTGGAAAAGTGCAGAAGAAGGTGCTGCGGAAGCAGCAAAAATAAAAATAAATTGTTTACATTGAGAGGCCAAAAGAGCCACCGAGACAAGTGCGCACTCCTGCATGGACGCTGCATACTTTCACTTTGCGTTATTGTACCGCGCGCTGGCCGTTAAATGCAATCAGCATAAATTATATGCCAGTGCACGGCAGGAAGGTTGCCCGCAGCTGACCCGAAAACACATTTTCCAACCAGGAAGGGCAGCGGCGGCGGAATAGAAGGCGGCGCAGGACGAGCAGCCTTTCCTTTTTGGCAGCCAGCACAAAACATCAAGAAGTTGGCCAAGCAGCTGCACTTGCCTGATGTTGTCGGGGTTTTTGGAAAGAAGGGAGGGAGGTGGAGGGTTTGCTGAACCAAAAGAGGGTGGCATTTCTTGCGGGAGGGGCCTTCCTTCTGCTCTTCATGTTTTGAGAGATGCCCGGCGACGTTGTCAAGTGCGATGCTAGCAAATTTATTATCCTAATTAGAAAGTTTCTTGTTGGCACTTGCTGCAGTTCTGCCACCCTTAAATCCCTCTATTTTGCACCCCCTCGACAGGCGACAGTTTGATATGCACTCAGAAAAATAGTTTTTAGCATAGTTTTTTGTCACTACATTTGTTTATAAACGAAAATATTTTTATTTGTTTCGATAACTTGAGTATTCACTATTTACTAATAATATTTTTACAACTGAGTTGACAAATCTCTCGTTTCTTTATATCATAATCTTTAATTTTAAAATATAATTAAATGAAACTTCTTAGATGTTTTCTATTTTATGGTCATATTAGCATTTGCTCATAAGATATCTCTCCACTTAAGACTGGAGTAAAAATTATGGTATATTTTGATTATTAATACAATTCTCAGAGGCTTACTGCTTAAGTTCTTTTGATTTCTTTGAGTGAGTGTTTCGGTGGCAGTGCAACATGCTGCGCCTGGTGATTTAAATTTTTTATTGCTGCACATTAGCGCTCAAGTTTCTGGCAAGCATGTTGCACTTACCGCAACCGCCCCTGCCACGCAACTCCTTCTGTCATTTTCAATTTCCCTACAAAGCAGCATATAATAATTATTGATTTCAACTTTGGCCCCAGGCTCATAGTATTCACTTGCTAGTGTGTTTTTGGGGGCCAGGGAGTGTGGCATAAAATTAGGCGAACAAAAGTTACAACCATCTACTCAATCAACACCAAAAGACCCACCCACCTGATCTGGCGTGCAACCACACCGATAAGCAGGTGGCCAAACTTATGTCTGCATCCCGTAAATTATATGACAAAATGCTGCAAAGTGATAAAAGAAATTGAAACCGAAACCAAAGCAAGTGAAAGTCTCAGGGGAAACGTAGAAAGGGGGTGGGGGTGGTGGTGTTGGACTGTGTTGTCGGTGCAGGTGCACTAAGAATTTACCATGCCATCCATATCACCCTAAATTCACCACTTTGCTTGCCAGTTCACAATGCTCACAGGGCACGACCAGACGCCATGCGTTGGAATTTCCCGTCCAACAACGCGCTTGGAAAATTCCCACACACCGTTGTGTCACAATAAGACGCATGCGCTGCATATGCCCCCCATATCCACAGCCCCCGTGGCTTCTACATCCACTTCCATGGCGGTGGGCGGTCAAGTGGGCGGTCAAGTAGGTGGGCAAGGCAGAAGAGCAGCTGATGTTGGCGTGAAGCGCGAGTAAACCCACAAAAAATTTGTTCTTAACCAACATTTGATCTGGGGTCATTTAAATGTGACCATAAATCAAAATCGAAACAAACAAAACTTTTTTGTTTGATATAATAAGCAGCTAACAAATGTTTGTCATTTGATAATTCTATTACTTAAGAAGTGGATTTTGGAATTTTATTAGATTTGAACTGCATATATTCCTAACTTGATATTGTGTTAAGTTTTATTTATAAATAGATTGAAACGAACCTCTATTCAAACTTAACAAATAATTGTTCAAAAAAATATACCGGAAACGAAATTATATTTATTTTAAATACTTTTTTTTACCTAAATTTCTATAAAATTGGTTAAAATTATGCAAGTTAGACTATATATTTGACTGTATATTTTGAGCAAGCTCTCTTCTTTGAACTCTTAAACTCTTTTTAATAACTACCTCGAACTGCGTCACGTTAGCCACTTTTGTTATTTTTTTTGCCCCCTGATGTCTGAAATTCGAGTTGGGTCCACATTTCAGTTCAGGTTTCCCTTGCAGCGACGTCATTTCATTCAGTGCCTTTCATTTCGGGGGTCTTGTGCACCGTCATGGTCCTTACTACAGCCAGCAACAACAACGAATGCACTTGCAACGGCTGTGGCAGCCATCCATCGCTATAGTTTCTCGCTTTCCGCATCCAGCACGCGCAGCACCACCTACTGAACCACCCAGCTTTGCTGGAAGGCAAAGACAAACACGTTGACTTTGCAAAAGACTCGCCTTGAAGGTGGCAAACACAAACAGCGAGACACACACACACAGGGAAAAACCCGCTGACCCTAAAGTGGGCGGTGGGCGGATATTGATGGGAGGATGGAAAGTGGGCGGTGGGCGGCAGCAGCTGTCAATGTTATCGCTGCTGGCTGCTACGTCGACTGAAGCAGCGGCAGCGGCAGCAGTCTTGGCCACGCGCCTAACTTTATTTTTAGTTCGGCACTGGAAATCGCCATGGGAAAGTGGGCAGCAGCAACAACAACCACTGGCCGCCGTGTAACATTGTTATTGGAAACGTTGTAGGCTCCAACAACAACAGCAACAACAGCCACCACGAGAGAGAGAGAGAGAAAGCGAGAGAGAGAGTAGGCGCAAGGGAAAGCGAATGGCAGCGTAAAGTGGAAATTCCATTAAGATTTTTTATGAAATCGAAACGAAATTAGTTTTCGATGAACTTTAAAGGCGAGTAAACAGCCGCAGCGGTCGTCCTCGTAAATTTCGCACGTGTGTCGCAAAACAAAAAAAAAACAACAAAAAAATAAGGAAAATATTGTATTACCCATAATATAAGCAAATATACACGTTGTGTGAAAATCGGAAAATGCCCACTAACGAAATACGAGTGCGAAAAGCGCAAAAAGCCCCCGAGTGAGTGAAATCGAAAGCGAAGCGGGCGGAAAAGCGAAAGCCAAACTCTGTGAAATGTGAATGTCGAGCTAAAAATAACCTTGGTATGAAATTGTACAATCCGAGAAGTACAAGGAGGCATCGAGGAAAGGCCTGACATGTGGCTGTCGGGCATAAAAAGTGGAGAAAGTGAGAAAAACGGCGTCAGTTTAACAAAATGTACTTAACTGGCCATGAAGCACGAATAATTGAAATCTTGGCATTGAGCAGCAGCCAAGGATAATTGACCTGCACCCGGAGGTTAGCAAGAAGATTAAAAAAAATCAAAAACCTACTTTAAAGTGTGAAAATGAAACAAATTTCAAACAAAGTGAAAGTGCTAAAGTTATTGTAAAGAAAAAGGTAACCACGACCTTGAAACCCCTTTAAATCTGCCTAATTGAGCGAAAGCATACCCAACAAGCAAAGCGACTAAAAAGCAAACAAATTTGCTCTCGAATCAGTCAATCGACTAAAAATACACTGCGCAAATTGTGGCGCCCAACGGACGCTTTTGCATATGGCCAACCTTCCGAGCAACTCAGCCGCACTCATACCCAACGAGCCACTGAACCGCCCAACCACCCATTTACCTACGACCCCGAATCCAAGGGCCTAAAACCCCTCCCACACACACACACGCTCGCATGCAAAAGAAAAAACGGAGGCAGCAGCAACTTAATAATATTGTTTCATTTTTTGCCATTTTCCTGTTGGTTAGCTGAGGGAAAAAGCTCGATTTGTTTACTGTACTGCCATGCAATCACTGTGTGTGGTGGGTGGTTTGGTGGTTAGGTGGCGGGGTGGAGCTCCTAGGTGCCACCTGAGCTCCACTGTGTGTGCGTGTCGGGGTTGGCTAACATGCCCAGCAACTTGTACCCCAAATTAGGCAACGTCTTAAATCAGAATCGAACAACAACAACTTTAGCTTAAGGGATCTGGATCTGAAATAAGGAAAATTAAAGAAAAACCCTTCGCAAATAACTGACAAATGGAAATATATCTCAAAATAACTTGAAATAAACTCCCAAGCCAAAATAGATTTACAAAATAATTCACTGAGCAAAGCTGCGTTTTGAGGTGAGTGTCAGTTGCAGTTAGTGAAGCATCTCTTGAAATGCACCCACAACAGCTACAACAACAACAACCACAAACACAACAACTGTCACACATCAACGAACAACATTAAAACCGCAAACAAAATGCTTAGACAGCCAAAAAGCGAAATATTTAAATGCAAAAAGCAAATAGATTAGCAACCAGTGTACAGAAATGCTTAGAGCGTACAAAAAGTCTGGCTTATTCAAAAAATGGAAATCCATCCAAAAAACAATCAGTATAAGCAGCGTCATGAAGAAGAACAACAACAAGAAGGCAGCATTAACTGAACAAAAACAATTGAGGAATGCAGAATAGTAACTTTTGGTTACGAGCCAAAAATTAAGATTTTCTTGGTTAGGTTTCAATCAAAGTTAAGTTTAAGTATACAATGGCAGGCATGCACTTCGTTTGTCATTTCAAACTTGTACTTTTATTTATTACCATAATAAAAAATAATACAAAGTATAATTTATTAATCTTTGGTTTCGGGAAAAATTGCAATTAACAATTTTAAATATAAATAGATTATCCAAGATAAAGGTTATTTATAAATATTGCTTACAACAGTAATTATCTAACATGATATTGCCATGAAAGACGTTCAAAGTAAATTAGATTATATAGTTTGTGATCTTCAACAAAAAACTACAGTCAAAAGTAACATAATTGAAACAGCTGAGAGTCTTAGGAGAACAGATTTAAATGCAAAGTTTTTTTCTTTAAATGAGTAGGTGCCTGTAATATAATTTGTGTTAATTTATCGATGCAGGTGACTCCACGTAAATTCATTTGAATTCCATATCACTTAGCAAAACAATGCGCTCTCGGTGTGTTAGTTACACGTTACAGCTTCAGTTTTAGCCGCAAAATGTGAATGTGTGTGCATTGCCAACCCCAAATACTTCAACCCTTCTCCACTTACACCCAAAAAACAACGTCCCGCCCCAAAACTATGCAACAAATTTTGTGAAATGAATTACATTTTCGATTAAACACACAAAATCAATAGCTTCTAGATGGACTTTTGTAGATGGGAGGGGGAGTGGATCCAAAAACTGAAATGGCAACCGCAACATCAACGCGAAATGTGTCGCATACGGGCGACCAGGCTGTGAATAAGTAAATATAGACCGCGCTCTTGCGTTTTTGTGAGTGTGTGTGTGTCTGTGTGTGTTTTACAGGATATACGAGCGGGTGTTTGGCTATTTTAAAATGCTACCGGCCGAGGATCTTTGGGGAATGGGGCTGAATTTAATTAAATCGTTGACCAACACCAGTTGACGTTGATGTTGCCTTGTTCGTTGTTGTTGCTGTTCGTGTCCGTGTTGTGCTGTTGTTTGTTTGCATGGGCAACTGTGCGTATGAGTGACATTAATGCGAACATTGAGGTTGGCCCACGCAGAAAGTGCGTGTGAAAGTGTGCGCGTGGCCCCTGTTTGTTTGTCTGCGTGTTTGTGCGGTGTTTGTGTGCCCGTTTGCGGCCATTTATGTGCTATTTATGCGCCTGCGTGTGTTTGTGTGAGTTGTAGCGTTGGTTTAAAAATAGCACAAGCTACGGCTGCTTCCTCCCGCTTTTCCGCTGCCTCTGCCGCTGATGATGATGATGATGATGATTTTAGTGTCCTTTTGCCAGCGCAACGCTCATTACATCAACTCCCAGCACCCTACCTGCTCCAACACCTCCCCACCACCCCTTTTTCCGCCTGACAGACAAAACTGGCTTGAATTTATGGCCAAAAATATAAAACAGGAAGCAGCAGCACACACAAACTCACGAATGTAAAATTTGTTTGATTTTTCGGTTTTCTTTGTGTGTTGCACAATACGATGATTGTGCGCAGCCTTTCTACAACAACAACAAAATACAACAACGATATGGACAAAAAACAACACTAAAAACAACAACAACACTAAAAACAAAAAGAAAGGTCGCCAAGGGACAGAAATGACCGTGTTTTTGTGTACATTATTGATTTTTGCTTTCTTTTCGTGGTCTTTTGCGCCTTTCACTTGCCCCCTTTCGTTGCCCCGCCCCTTGCACTATCCTCTAAGTCACCCTCCTCACCCCCTGCCACCACCAAGCAGATTGTGCGTGTGGTTTCTCAAATAATTTACTTTACTTTGTCTTTGTTTTACTTTCGTGCCTTGTTTTGTTTACATTGTTATCGTTTGGTCTTGCTGTTTTTATGTAATTTTTTCATACTCTTCTTTATTTTTATTCCACTTGTTTTTGTTTTGTTTGCCATCGCTGGTACTGTTGTTGTTGCCGTTGTTGTTGCTGCTGCTGTTGCCCATTATGCGCACAATAAACGTTTTGTATCGTGACCAAAGTCAAATGAAAGTATGCCAGGGGTATGGCCCACAAACACAAGTGTATGGGTGAGACGAAGCCTGTAAATGTGTGTCTGTGTTTGTCGGAAAACTAGTTCTTTTTCGCACCCAAGGCGATTGTCTGAGTGCCATGCTGGTGTCTGTGCGAGTGTGCATTTGTTTAAAAGAAATGGTTGAAAATGCGTTTGCAACAATTTTCATTGCCTACTTTCAAGGGCAAAATAGTAAGCCGCAAATCTTATCGAGTACAATTGTATCAGTAATGTAAGTTTGAAAGCTTTTAGCTGCTTATAAGCACTCAAAATCATCATATCTTAGTTATAGACAAACATTTAGCATAGCACAGTCACAATTTTGGGTGACAATATATAATAGATTAAGTATACCATATTTCACGCCCTATATTTATTTAAAACTTGTATAAATTACTAGGGATTCACAAAACGATATGTGTTCCTGTTGTTTTAAGAACATTTGACTATTTTATAAAATCCTTACCCCTTAGCTAGGTTAGTAAGCTAGCGTTTTTAAATCTCACAATTACCACTCGAACTCACCTTAAAAATATTGTTTTCATATATTTTTCTCCACTCTTTCTATCTCTCTGGTCTACCCTGAAAATGAAACTCCAACCAACTTGCCCGCCACAATAAACCATTATGCCAAAATTCAATAAATAAAAAAACCCAAAAATACCCAATGTATAATCTAAATGAACCACAAAACAAAAAATAACATCGAATAGCAGGTAATTTTGGCGGCCTTAAAGGTGTCCAAACCATACTCTCGCCCGGCGATCTACAGATTCATGCAAATGTAAGCGAAAAGAACAAAATCAAAGCCCAAAGGCATTTTATGCGAATTAATTTGAATGTGTGTGTCTCTTTGATGTTATGTTTTTTATGAGTTTCCACACGTCACAAGCGAAAGCAAGGAATGTGCGACTTTCTTAGTTGTTAACTTTGTTTCCTTTGTTCGAGCACTGTCGTCCCACTTACACTTTCTCCCACACTCTCCTCCACTTTCTCCCTCTTAGAGTTTTCAATCAATAGCCATAAGCTGGTTATGGAATCAAACGATTCTCAGTCCGTATATCTATTGCTTCAGATTCTGCTCTCTCGATCATCACCACTCCACACACTATCTCTCTTTCTGGCTGTGAACACACGTTTTCGTTACTTGACGAGATTTTCAAACACTTTTGTCTTATGTATCTGTTACTTTCTGCCTCTTTTATGTATCTTCTACGTTTTTAATCCCTACCTGTAAATGTGATCTAAAACAAAAAGAAATTTTGACAAAACAAGAAATCTTGGTGAATAATTTGCATGGATATCGTAACGCTGTTTCCCGTTTCCTCCAGAACTTCATCCAGAACTCACACTGCAAAACACACACCCAAAACGTTCAGAACATTCAACAGTTAACACTGTCCCGTGGACCGCCACCACCCCTCGAAATTCCCCCAAAGTATTAGCTTGTAACTTAATGCTCTTGCAACTTTTAGCCACAACAGATAAGTATTTCAATGCCTTATATTTCTCCGAACCCATGAATACCGGGCACTTGACTCCTGGCACTTTTAGTCCCAGCAATCGCGGGCACTTGTAGCTCTAGTCGTAGGTCTACTTATGATACTCGTACTACCAATACCTAGCTTACTCATGCAGCTCTGATCAAAATTACCAAAAAGTCGCATCTTTCTCGAACATTTTAAATAATCAAATCTGATTACAAAGTTTACATTTTGTATTTGTTCCTAAATCTACATTTTTTTTTTAAATGGAAGTTCTAAAAAAAAATTATTATCAACCAAATATTTTACTAAAAAGCTCTAACGGCAGATACATTTCTTTAGTTTATTGTCTTCCATAAAAATGATTAGAAAATAAATAAACATTTTTTCTTGCCTTTTTCTGTAAAAGGTTATAAGCAACCCATGAAAATAGTACAAGTTAGTTTAAATAAAAATGTAAAAGACCTTAGCATTCAAAGAATAAAAAAGATTTTTAGAAGATTTTTGTAGACTCTAAAAATACATTTACCTTTTAATTTAATAAAGTTTCTATCATGAAAGGCAACAAAAACGTTTTGTATAAAATTTTCGAAAAACCATGGCGATAGTACTCCATTTGCCCCAAGATCTTAAACTCGCAGGGTTGGTTTAGCCCCGATCCCGATAACTAAGTCTTATATCATACGTATATTTTGCTTTGAATTTTTTTCTTTCTCAACCGATCGATTACCATTATGATTGTGTGCATTTATTGAAACATCTGAAAAGGACAACAAACTATGGCAGGCAAGCGGCGCAGTCCCTCCGAAGAGTAACCCCACCCGAACCCCTGAAACCCCCGTAACCCCCCCAAAAAAATCCAGCAGAGCAACCCCCTAGTAGTAGCGTTTATAGCCACACCCAATCAACATCTACCCATCCAACAGGCGGGCGCCTCCAGGTGCGCACCTCTCTGGATCCGTGGCGCCAGCAGCGCAGCCTCAACGAGCGGGACCTGCTCAGCGTGGGCGGTGGTGGTGGGGGCGTCGGCGGTGCTGACTTCCGCCACCTGTCGCACGCCACCCAGCGGCTGTACGCCTCCGCCGATCAGCGGGATCGCTACGAGCTGCAGCTGCAGCACCGTGAGCGCCTCGAGCAGTATCCACTGACGCGTACCGCTCGCTTGGACGTCCAGCAGCGCAACTCGCTGAACCGCAGCAATCACGAACGGCAGTTCTCCAGCAGCGGCGGCGGTGGGCCAGTTGGGGGGTGGTGCCGCTGGCGCCTACAGACGTGCCCCGCCCTTGGCAACCGCCGGCGGCGGTGGCAGCAGCAGCAGCAGCACCACCAGCAGCAGCTACTATCCCCAGTCGAAGCCGCAGATTGTGATTGGTTCGGGAACGGGCTCTGGATACGATCGGGCATCCATGGCATCAGGGTCAGCGACCTTGGACGCCGCAGGTCAGGCGGCGCGAGGAGGCGGCCAGCGTGTTGGCCTGCTGGGCGCCACGAGGGGCGTCGCCGGCGGAGGTGGCAGCAGTTCGGTCAGCTCCACCGAGGCGGCCTACTGGGACGAACCGGCCACCAGCTCCTCCTCATCGGCAGCCCAAGATTCGCGGCGATTCACCGAGCGCAGAATAAAGAAGACGGTGCGTTTCGATGCCCACGACGAAGAGGCCGCCATTCTGGCGACCAACAGCTCACTGCCACCGGTCACGGGAATCCTGCCCTCGACGGCTGTGGATGTGGGTGCAGCCACCATATTGAGCAGCGGAAAGAGTCTCGAGGCCGGCGGTGCGGACTGGTCGCGCTGGGAAGCCGAAAGGCAGGGCAGTCAGGACTCGGCCACCAAGGACTCAGGCATCGATACCAGCAGCACGTTCACCAGCAGCGAGGATTCAAATCGCGGAGATGGGCCCAAGGTACACAAGGATGCCGGAAACCAAAAAAAAAAAAAAAATTAATGGGCAAGCGTGCTTTGTGTCTGTGTAGAGTCTCTCCCATCTCTGTCTTTTCCTACCCATCTCTGGAGCCCCCTCTTTCCGTTTGTCTGTGTGGCAAATAACCCAATCAAAATCCCCAAAAGAGATACCCACCAATTTTCTCTGTTTGTTGTTCTTGTCATGTCCAAAAAACCCAACCATAACCCCTGACCATAATCAAGCTATTTTTGGTTATCACTCCCACCTCGCAAACAAACTTCCAGCTATTATGACGAAACATTTTGACAATTTCAGCATACATATACATATAAATTCGAACAAATCTTGCATGCCCATTTATTGCGATCTTTTCAAAACCTCTAAGTGTTGTGCTTGCATGAAGTTCCACCTGAAAGAAAAAACCCCTACTTGCACGCCCTGCATGACCTCTAAATGTTGTTAGACAACACTGTTCTTAGCATTCGAAATTTATCAGTCTAATCCATACCTCAACTTGGGGTAGCTCTTGAAACGTGTGTGCTCTCAAAACAAGTAGGAAATCGAAAAAAACGACTATGTATCTATATCTATGCGCTATGCCAACTATCCGTGAAGAACATGTTTCTAGCCTGTTAGAAAAACCAAACATGAATGTAAAAAAGTGTACAAACTGTTAATTTCTATTGTTATACATATGTTTTCGTTTGACAACTCTAATTGTAAGTTTAACCTAGGGTATAAGCTCTATGTCTAAGGCCTGTGAGCGGTGCAAAAAGCTAACTAAAAACAATTCTACTTCCCGCATACGACGGCTCCCCACCGCCACCTCATCCAACAACCAAAAATCTTTGCACGATCATCCGCAATCCGAATTGTCACCTGTAAACCACCAAAAATCCCACAAAAAACAAAAAAAAAAAACAATCACCAAACCAACAACCATCCCACACCCACAATCGTAAATCGATCGATCGCTGCAAATAGAACCCGGTGAATTGGCAAACATCCGCGGATAATACTCGCCTGATCGGGCACATGATATTGCGTAAATACTATGATGGGGAGGATATATTAGGCTTAAAGGTAAACGGAGGTCAGCTCCTCGGAACGGGAAGCGTTACGAGCGGCGGAGGTCCATGCGGGGCCATTGTGGAGAAGGTGAAGCGCGGATCGGTGGCCGATCTCGAGGGAAGGATTCGACCAGGTAATGTGCATACTCCCCTCCCACCCACACTAGCCACCTCATCTCACTCTTTGACTTTTCTCTCTATTTCTATCTGTCTGTGATCAAACATCAACCAACCAACCGACCAAACACCAACCATTCATCCGATCATGCATCGATCAGGCGACGAGATCCTCGAGTGGAATGGCCGCGGGCTGCACAACAAGAGTGCCGACGAGGTGTACGACATCATCGACGAGAGTCGGCTGGACGCCCAGGTGGAACTGATCGTGAGCCGTCCGATCGCCAGCGGCGGCGGCAGTGGCGGCAGCAGCAGCAACGTCAGTCCCATCAGCGGCGCCTCCGGCGGATCCGCCAACAGTGGTGCCCAGCTCACCGCTCGCCGCTCCTCGGCCAATTTCCCGCACAGCGGGCTGGCCAGCAGCATGGCCGGCAGTGCGGTGGTCAGCAGCGGCGGACGATATCTCCAGCGCAAAGGTACTACATACTAACTGGTCTTCCAAAAATGAGGGCTTTTGCGGGGGTGTATGTTTGCGAAAGTGTGACTGATGTGGGTGATATGCCTTGCCCGGGAAACACAAGGGACAGTTTTAGTCCAAAATCAATAACTAACACACTAACACAAAAAATTCGCTTAATGTCTTAATGAATTTACATTTAAGCGATCAGTTTGCAAATGCATTATAACAGTTTGTTAGGAAAATTCCTTCCAGTTTCCATCATAAACTTAACTTACAGATAGACTTTCCAACTAAATACAAATCTACTGAAATTGTACTCCTGTTCATAGAACAGCACACTTTACTCTTATTAAGTACTTTAAAAGGTATTCAACGTGTGATCTAACTCGGATTGAAAAACTTTTGACTTTAGGAACTTTTCGACGTTCAATAGGCTAGTGTTAAGAGCCAGAAAAAAAGACGAATTTTTTTTGTTCATCCACGAAAGCCATTACATTACAATGACCAATTAACTAACGGTACCACTAGCAACACGCCACTCCAATTTAATAGCTTCTCGACCACATTCCTGGTTTTAACCTTTTGTGAAAATTTAACCAACAGCACCTGCAGTCGAGGCTATTGAAATCCACCGTGACAAGCCGAGCGTGCTGATCACCTCGCCCGGTTCACCAGACATTCACACCAGTGTCACCGGACCGGGATCGGGATCGGTATCGAGAGCGGGCGGCGGCGGAGGACTCCGGCAACGTGGCGGCGTCGGGCAGACGCAGCGACTGGGACCAAGCCACAGCAACCACAGTCACAGCAGCAGCGGGAGTGGCAGCGGCAGCAGCACCAGCAGTGTCCACGCCCCCCAATCCGCTCACGGCCTCCCCGCCCACGCGTCCGGTTCCGCCCCTGGCGGTCTGCACGGCACAACGACGGCAGGCCACCATCACCACCATTACCACCACCCGCATCCGCATCCGCACCAGCATCCGCTTCAGGGTCTCCAGGGTCCGCCCGCCGCCGCCCACCACGGGGTGGGCGGTGGCCTTGGCATGGGCGGTGGCTCCGGTACCACCACGCAGCCCATTCCCATCGAGGGGCGGCTGCAGCTGAAGCTCGGTTACGACCAGAACACGCTGCAGCTGATCGTGACCCTGGTCTGCGCCACCGGCCTCTCCTTGCGCCAGAGCGGAGCGGGCCGCAATCCTTATGCTAAAGTGAGTAGATCAGCTGAAATTCTTCATTTTGCAATGTTTTTATAGATACTTACACTATGAAAAAATATTAGTCTTAAAATTATAAATGAGTTTACAATAGTAAGGACTCTAGATCTTTATGACACATAAATAGTAAATCCAATTAATTTATACTCAACTTAAATGTTTTTTTAGCTTTGATTTCCATTTATTGCTTTCTAGTCGAAAAACATTAAGAAATATTGAAAGAAATACAAAATAGTATTATTTAGATCATTTTTAAAGTTCAAAATCGTCTAAAATACAAAGTAGCTCTAAAAAATTTCACGATTTCCTAAGCAGTCTTGACATTAAAAAACACAATATAATTCAAGTCTAATCACCGATTAATATTAACCGACTATAATTTCATTATAGGTATTCCTTCTGCCCGATCGCAGCCACAAATCAAAACGGCGTACAAAGACAGTGGGCACCACCTGCGAACCACGCTGGGGCCAGACCTTTGTCTACTCGGGTCTGAGACGCTGCGACCTCAATGGCCGACTGCTCGAGGTGAGTTTTTTGGCTTAAGCACATCGGACTTAGCACACCGATCAATTAATGAATATGTTTCACCTACCAGGTAACGCTTTGGGATTATGTGCGGTATGGGGCCAACGACTTCATCGGCGAGGTGGTCATCGATTTGGCCCATCACATCCTGGACGACGAGGCCGAGTGGTATCAGCTGCAGCCCCACCAGGACACCTCCTATCTCGTATGTGTGGGCTGGGGATCTTTAAGTTCGTCCATTTGGATTCCATTTTGCGTTCGTTCGTTTCCTTTTCCTGGTTGTAGCATAAGTGTTGGTTAACACCTGAAAACTATGGAACCAAAAAGAGTTCAGGTTCAGATCCACAAACGAAGTTTTGGCGAGCGAAAAACTTAACACAAATCTGGTTAAAAAATGGAAAATGATCTCGTTTTTTTGTGTTCTAAAATTTTTATTATAAAAATCGATGTTTAGGCTGTTAAGGCTTTCACTTTCACAAGTTTGGATAGATTTTCGGAAACATTTTTAATATATGACAATTTAAATCCCTTAGACTTTGAGTTAATTTTGTGATTGTGAAAGCCATAACGGACCTGTTAATATCCCTTACCCACCATCCACCCCCCCGCAGCAGCTGCCCGATTTGAACAAAATTATTAACTCAGCATTGTCATAATCTGTTTATTTTATTTGTTGGTTTTTTGTCGTGCACCCGCCAATACATCTCCACCCAAAAAACACCAACCACCATTACCAACAACATCAACAAAAACAACACGTGCGTTTCGTTCCGTTACCCATACAACATTGCGACGCAAAATTTATGACAACAACCACGTAAACAACAACCAAAACACCAACCAAACCAACAACGAAAACAGTTACGAGACGAGGGCAGCGATGTGGACGGCCTGATACTGACACCGACAGATCATTTATCACCGCCGAGCACCATGTCGCGTCTGAGCGATTCGGACACGACGTCCGACTGCGACATCGATGGAATGACGCCCGGGGCCAGCATCTCGTCGATGGGCAGCTCAGCGAGTCCGCCGCCCCTGCTAGAGGTAAAAACCAGAGCAACCACCACAACAACTTCAAACAAACAACTTTAACAACAACAACAACAACAACAGCCTGAATAACAACAACATTATCAGAGCAAACTTACACTAGGGACATGCCAAAACAGAAGCAGAAGAAGCAACTGAAATTGAATCAAATTTATTATTTTATACAAATGTATATAGTACACACGGAAAAATAAGGAATCCAAGCCAAAACAACTGACAGCAAACAGGAGTGGGATACCAGAGACACCCACACATGCATACATTAGACTTACCACTTCCAGTGGCACTCAGCCCCTCACACAGATACATACATGCGAACACTCCCGCCCACTTTGCCGCCCACTCCCACACACACGTATGCCCAGAAAGCATTTGACGCTGGTTTAATGGTACAAAAATATAAAAACCAAACTAAAACGACTGTATACTCTGGCTTAGGAATTGGCTGCCAAATAAAATAATTGCGAAAATATACAAAAATATTTTAAAGTTACAGTTCTCTATAGATATTCGATAGCTCTGAAATTTTAAACAAAATGATAATAAATTAGTTATTAAATTATACCCTTCAACCGCCTTTGGGAATGTGTGTATGAAATGATTATTCATTTAATGATAGATAATATAAGTAATTTTTTAAGCTCAACTTAATGTTTTTTAACAGCCTATATATTGAAGGTGTTATTTACTTAACAAAATAATAAAAAAGTTGCAAGTTAGTTCTTTTCCAAGTTGTTTCTAACACTCTTTTTTAAAGTAAGAGTAAACAGTCATCGTAACGTCACAAATGCTTTTGATGCTTGCATAGTATGCTTACTTGGGCTCCTATAGTTTATTATCTCTCGCTCTCTCTCTCTCTCTCTATGTGTGTGTGCTTTTTTCTAACTGTAACTCACATATCACATGCCATGAGCAGCATCAGCATAAGCATCACCACCATCAGCCAGACAACTCGTTGGCCATCATCAGCACAGCAATAGCAAACAAACAGAATAGCTCACACAAAGCCATCGTGTGAGCGCTCCATCAGAGGGCTCCATTGCTGTTCCAGTTCCTGTTCCTGTCAGTTATCAGTTCTCAGTTCTCAATTCGCATGCCACAAACACAAACACAGATACTAAAAACACACACACTCTAACTGGCTCATGGTCAGAAGGACAGAATCGAACCGATGCCGACTGTTCATGTTTTTGGCCAATACGGGACACCACACACCTCCCAGCAATTGTACAAAAGTATTTTGGTTATCATGATGTTTTGAGTTCGTTTGAAACTTTTATTCAACTAATTGGTGTCGTTGTTTGGTTGTGCGTGTGTTAAATTTTTCTCTCTCTCCCTTGATCTACTGACTGTATCTCTTCGAAGTCTAAAACTGTCGTTCTACTAACTTTCAGTACTAAAACCCGAACGAATCCAAGCTCGGCTTGGTCACGTCTTTTCAGCCAACGATATATATTACTATTGCATTTAAGATGAAAGTTAATTTAGTCTAAGTTTTATAAGCCGAATGTCTTAAGTTAAGAATCCGTGTAAGCCCAAACTTGAGAACACATACTGCCCAAGGCTGTCTCCAAAAAGAACTATCTACCTATCTCTGTCATAATCCCCACGATCGAACTGTCATTGAAGAGCACTTGAAAATAGCTTTTGCATGCCGTATTAGAGAACCGCTTTTGCCCATCTACCCATCACTTAGCACCTGTGAACTGCCCGTCCTGCTTTCCTTTCTGGTAGCTTTAGTTGTGTAGCATTGCGTATACTTGATGTGAGTTGAGTTAATCGAACACAGACCCCGAAAAACACCAGAAAACCAATTGAACACCGAAACCCAGAGATACTCCCACACAAACACAATGTAAGAGGCCAATATCCAAATTTTGATATTCCACACACTTTCAAACCAGACTCTCCGCTCATTTTGATCATATGTAAATTTCTCTATTATCTATTCCTTCTTTTTCTCTTGATTCTTACTCACTTCAAACCCCGCAAAAACCAAACCATCCCCACCCCGTTGAAAACCCTTTCGTCCCGCTCCACTCCAATCCCCGAACACGACAATCCAGCTCGATCTAAACGAGCGTCGGTCCAGACGTGACATGTCGCCACAGGGCCGCAAACGGGTGGCCGGGATGGTGGCTCGTGACTACCGCACAGTATCTGGCATTGGACAAAGTTACCACAATCAGGTTTGCACCCAAGCTAAATTAACGAACTACCCAACTAAATGGCCAAAAGTAATTCCAAACAAACAAAACAGTACAGACAGCGAAAACACTTTAAGTGTTGTCGACATTCGCTTAAGTCCAGCATTTAAAATAGAGGTTTACCATATCTAAATATATATATCTCATTAAAGATAACATCTTTGTTTCTACCAAATTTTTAACGTCACCAAGATTACTTATGAAGGCCTTTAAGAATCAATTAAGAAGGTCATAAAATATAGGGCATATTTTTGTCACTATTTTGACTCACCAAATAATCAGTCCAATACATTTATTGACTATTCTCAACCCCACAAGTATAACTAGTTTAGTTAGACCAAAACCACTGTCAACTTACTGCACTTTCAATTCAGAGCTTATGCTAACCTTTTACTTAACCTAACTAACCGATTAACCCACTAATAATCTAACAAGCCGCTTTCGGTTCTGATTGTATTTTAATTGATTTCGTTTCGAAAGTGTATGTTTTTTACAATTTGTATTGCTCTGTATCTCTTGCTCTCTTGGCTCTTAACTCAGTACCTACGTTTAACCATATATATATGAAGCTACTTGTATTAATGTTCCGGTAGAAGTTGCAGTAAAACCAGTTAATCAAAAACACAAAACACTCCCAGAAACACAAAAGACCAAGCACACTGTTAATGCCTGACTCAGAACCACTCGACCACCCCGAACCACTCACATGCCTAGTCAGTAAGATCTAATCCGAATGTTTGTCGAAAGAATCCCTGGTCCCCCTCCCCCTGTGTGCGGGGATCACTGAGCTTCGGTCCGAAGGGTGCACCACTAAACCACACTCTACTTTCCATGCCACAACCCGATGCACCACCACACACAGGCCTCTGCCACCGGCTACTATCGTCGCGGAGGTGGTAATGGTGTCGGCTCGACCATCGGTCCCGGTGGCATGAGCCTTAGCCAGCGCAGCCACTCGGCGGCACCCAGCGACGGTTACCACAGCAGCGGAGGAGTGCCCTCCGGCGGATCTGCATACGGCTACAGGAGCACCAGTCCCAGGCGGGGCTCCCTCTCGCCGCCCGACGACCGCTACATAGACTATCCAGTGCTTCCAGTTCACGGCTCGCCCAACGCCCCATCGGTCTACCAGGGCCCAGGTGGTGCCACCTCAGCAGCGGCGGCTGCCTCGCAGCAGCAGCGGTTCCAATCACGCTCGGCCACAGCCACGCCCACAGGATCACCGAAAAAGAGGCAACTGCCACAGGTAACTCAAAAAGTATTAGTTAAGGCATGAAAGGTTAATAGAAATTATAATTCCTAAGTATGTAAGTCAACAAAACCAATATTACCCCTACAAAAAAATAAAATCTAGGAAGGTAAATTAAAAACGATTTTTTTTTTCTTATTTTATTATTACCTTTTTATTTTGAAAATCCGTTTAACCACAGAGCGAGAATTAAAAGCTTAAAGCAAAGATTTATTTTATTTATTTATTTGTTTTCTTAAAACTAACCCTTTTCTATATTTCCACCACAGGTGCCGCAGACCTCTCGCAGTGCCATGCTGCGGGACCGCCTTGGGCAGGATTTCGACGAGCGGCTGGCGTCAGGTGGTCGCTTTGGACGGCACCGCACACGGCAGCCACACCACCAGGCCACTTACCGCAGCACCGGAATGGGCGGCTGGGAGCGCCACTACACGGGACTGTCCGACAGCGACCTGCAGTCGATGGACGCGCGCATGCGCCCGCGGCACTCGCTGTCGCCGGACAAGGACTTCATGGGCGAGTTTGGCGACTCGGACATGGAGTCGGTGGTCAGTGTGACTTCCAGCGCCTTCTCTACGCAGTCGGAACGACCCCGCACCTCCCGCGGACTCAGGTAAGTGGCCGCGGGCTGAGGAGAGGATGGAGAAGGGAGAAGTGCCCAGTCGAGCCAAAGCCATTAGCCATTAGCTAAATAAACCAAGCTATGCTGCCAAAATTACGCTGAAATTCCGCTCTGGGCCACACGAAAATTGCTGTTACACCACATTTTTTTTTCTAAGTAGTAGGTGTGAGCAAAATCCAAAATTCCCCTGAATTAGGCTAAAAATTAGAATATTTATTCGAACATGATCGGAAACAGAATCGGCGCGCTTACCGCCCAACAATCTCTTTAACACATACACAGATACGTCAATACCCTGATACGCACACTGAAACCAACGAAAAGCGATAGCGAAATCATAAAGTTTCTTTTCTGCATTTACATTTTTGCGTTTGCCAAACTAACCGACAAAACCAAACCGCTCAAATAAAAATCAAATGAAAATCCCAACTACAATCAACAACGTCGCTCTCGCCGCGCGTACTCTCTTTGTGTTTGTGTTTGAATGCTTCTCTCGCGTGCTGTGCTCACCACACGCTTACACGCCAACGACTCACCACAAAACTCAACCACACACCACAACTCACCACGAACATCGCTTACACACACGACACCAACGTGTCCACTCACCTCGAATCAAACGCTGACCTCGGACGTTGTTCGTTCTCTTCCCTCGTATGTGCGTTTTTAATGGTTGAACGACAACATCTAACCCACCACACAATCAAAACTCACCACACGCCGAGCGCTTTATTTTAAAACATCACGCTCATTGGGTATGGTTTATGGCATTTACATTGACCCCGCTCAACACTTTGCATGCCCCAAAACTGAAAATAAATGTTTTCACCACGAACCACCCATCACCGCTGCCAACCGTTACCACCCGATACCACCCGTTAACGTTGCCCGCAATAACCGTTAGCTTCCCACGCAACTGGCGCAATCTCTTTGGCGTCCGCAACAGTTTCCTCAGCGGCTCTGGAGGCGAACCTATCACCGGACTGCAACTGCACCACGCGGAGCCCGGAAGGGCCAACACTATCGAGGTGGATGATTGCGACTATCTGCCGGCGGGTGGTGCCGCGCAACTGGTGTTGCTGGAGCAGTTGGAGCAACTGCAACATTTGTCTGCTCTGGCAGCGGCAGACTCACCACCCATTTCAACCGGAATCGGAATGGCACCACATCAGGTGCTGGTGACCGATGCCAACAGCGGCCAGTTGGTGGAGCAGTTCTTCGTAGAACCCGGCACCATGGCCGAGGAGATGATGATGATGGAGCCACTCGATCCCCATTTGCATCCACATTCCGCCTCCTATTCGCCATCGCCCCATTTGCCACCACCGCCCTTCGATATCGACATATTTCCACCACGACGGTCCAACGGACTGAAACCGAACGTACAAGTTACCGCCGCTGCCTATCCGCTGCCGCTGCTGCCCAGCTTTGAGCAATTCAAGCGCATTACCACGCCCATCACAAATCTCTTCCGCAGCTCCTCACCCTCGGGCGTCCATGCCCACGACCACGCCTCCACGACGCCCAGCTCGCTGGTGGGCTATGTGCGCGACCATCAGGACAAGAGCTGCAGCCACTGCCAGAATGGAAGTCAGCCAGTGGTGCTGTCGACGCACCACACGCTGCACCTGACCGCCGCCGGTCTAGCGATTGGCGCCTGCCCGGATCCTTGCTGTCTGGCGGATGCCCATCCCCATCCCCAGCACCAGCCCATGGGGTATCCCTATGGAGTCGGAGCAGGTGTTGACCACCTGCCTCCGTCATCGGACCCAGCGATGTGCGGCGAGTGTGTGGATCAGCACTTTCTGGGCGGATTGACGGGACCGCAGCTAAACCTGGGCGTGGTGCCCACCTACCATGTGCACACGCCCACTCCGAATGCCCATCGGCGAGCCAGGGGTCAAATGGCGACGCCAGCACCACCGCCCACGCAATCGGTGCTTCGTCTGTCGCGACAACTGAGCGAAGACGCCTTGGTGGCTGCGGTCCCCATCTCAGAGGCCAAGGCGCAACCCACTTCGATACTGAAGAAGCCGAAGCTGGAGCGAAGGCGACTCTTCCACGAGGGTCAGTCGCGATCCCTGGACTACGATGATCTGCACACGAAGAGCTGGGGTCGCCGACGCATACGATATGAGGACGAGGTGATGCCCTCCTCGGCGGACTACCCTTATCCACATCCCAACCCGTATGCCCATTCACCAACGGCGGCGGCGATGTCTCGTCGATATGGATCGGAGACCAATATCCGTCAGTCGTATATGGGCGCCAATGTGGATGCCAGCCATCCGTTGAGTCACTCGCATTTCCTGGTAACCGATGATAAGATAGTTACCATTACCTACGACTCGGATGTGGGCTGGACGCGACGTGGTGTGGCCCCGTCCCTCTTCCGGGGGGCACATCGGCAGCGTGGATTCGCAGATGCCAGGCACCACATGTCGCTGGACTTGCAGCGAACCAGCCAACAGAAGTTGTACGGACCAGCGGCTCCATACTTGAAGCGCCGACGGAATCTGCCGCATCCACCAAGCGCGCAGAATGCCCACAACTTTTCACCAATGGAGCCGGGTTCGGGGATGGACTTGAACGCTGCGGCAGCGGGAATGGAGCAGGGCAACGGAATGGGCAGCGGGGGTGCACACAACACTTCCAGTACCAGTACTATACACAATAGCAACCACCAACACACCAACCACCACAATAGCCAAGCGAATAGTGTTAGTGTTAGCCAAAGTCACAATCAACAACAACTACAACAACAACAACAATCAGTTAGGCAAAAAGGGAAAGAAGGCACCACCGCCAACAGCGGATCGATGATGGCATCGGAGCAGCTGACGAAATCTAGTAGTGGGAGCGGTGGTGCAACATCTGCTGCCGCTGCTGGGCATCTTGTCGTCGGTGGTACTAATGCTAATAATGCTTCTTCTTCCTCTTTTGCAAATCCCCAACCACAACAACAACTTCATGGATCACCCAACAATAACAAACGTGCCCCATCATCAACACCACAACAACAACAACCACAACAATACACAAACACCAACAATGACGCCAACAACCTGACGCTTGACGCCACACAACAACAATCACAAAAACAACAACAACCACCAAATACATTCACAAATCTGATCACAAATACAACAACAACATTAACAACAACAACCACAACATCGTCGAATGCAACGAATGCGGCGACAATGACAACCGCAACAACAACAACAACAAATGCAACAACAAATGCTACAACAACTGCCATAAATCCAACAACGACAACAACAACGAATAACACGAACGAACCAAACGCAACAACAACCGCAAATGCTGATGCGGATGCGGACGCGGACGCTCCGCTGGACGCAATCGACTGGGATGCCATTGATGCAATGTTGGACGATGACTTCAGCGAGTACGACAAGGACAAGAATGGAGCTGAGGAGACGGGCGGCTCCAAGTCAGCGGAGGGTGGTGGTGCCGAAGATAAAGTCGGTGAGTAAATGGGTATACCGGTCCCACATTCATTCAGTGATTATTTGAGCACAACCCAATAATTTAACTAAAGTTACAATTTTAATCAAACAAGTTATGACATTTTAAAATAAATATACTTTCAAATTTAACTTTAGTACTGTTAAACTTATCACTTTTTTCGAGGCGCCTGTTAGAGAAATTCTTCTAATTTAATGCATGAATATAAGTATAATGAAACCGTGCGTCTTTGGAGATGTATGCTCGCAAGTCTCTTATAAATAGCATTATCCTGATCGGAGTTAAGGACTTACTCTAAACATTTTCTCGCATCGAATTCCTTATATTTATATTCTGCATAAAATAGAGAGATATGTAAACGTAAAAACAAAAGCTATTATTACAAACATTTATAACTTAATTTTCGTCAAATAATCTATCTCATAATAACCCATAGATGGCAGCCTCTCGGACACCGCGAACGACCGCAAGAAGGGCGGCGGCGTCGACCAGGAGCGATCCCCCAAAGGAGGCAGCGGCATGGGCAAAAAGTCGAACTCCACATCGCAACTTTCGGCCACAGGTAGGGTGATTTTGTTCCGTTCTCTGTTTGCGCTCGTTTACCGTTCTCGTTCCGTTGCCTTGTGTTGCTTAATCAGCCAGTCAATCAATCAGTCAGTTGATCATTTGACCAGTTATTCGTAGCATCGTAGGCTTGGTCCGGAACTTGAAAGCCGGCTGGAGCATATCCATCTGTCGACTTTTTTTTTCGTGGAATCATGTCCATTGCTTTGCCATTCGATTTTCCGTTGCCTTATACTAACCTCATAGCCATAACCATAACCATAACCATAGCCAAGCTAACCCAAACTAACCGATATATATAGTAAAACTAAGAAAACTAAAACTGTGTAAAATGCCGTACTCGAAGGTCGTAAAAGACGTATGGGCTTTGGAAAGAAGGGTAAGAACTCGTTCACGGTGCACCGCAGCGAAGAGGTGCTGCCCGGCGATATCACGCGGGAGCTGCGCAGCGGCGGCGTTAGCCTCGGCGGTGCCGGTGCCGGCGGTGGTGGTGCCAGTGGCGCCGGCGGTTCAGCAGGCGCCGGCGGCGGGGGCGGCCTGTCCCGCGGCTCGTCCTCGGAGGCAGACGCCATCGAGCAGTTCTTCGGCGATGGCGCCGGCGGGGAAAGGTGCGCACAAGTCCAACTTTCTATTCCAATCTATCTTCTCTCTCTACTCTAACTACTACTACTCTACTCTCTATGCTATACTATCAGTTCTTTTTGGTTATCGTTTTGTGACTTTCTTTTTGGTTTTGAGTTGCCTTTTTAAAGAGAAAGAAGAAATTAAAAAATGTGAAAAGAGTTGAACTAATAATAGCCAAGTAAGCCGTCGATTGAGATGATAAACATTAGTCGACCCAGAAACGCATCAGTTAACGTGATACGTAAAGTGTAAAACGTAAAAGAACCCGGTAACAGTACAGTATCGGTAACAGAAACCCCTCCCGAAAACCAATCCCCGTTCAGCACACAGGATGTTAGTCCTTAAATATCCCTAGATGTAAAAGCTTTTCATTCACTTTGCTCTCTGAGTTTTCGCGCGCGCTTTTTGCCAAAGCATCAGCCAAAGCTCTCTCTCTCTTTTTCTTCGCAGGCATGACCTACTGTAAATGTAATTTTAACCGTAAATAAATTGCCCGCCTTCTCCCGTTATCTTGATTTATTATTTTCCGACCTCCTTGATAAGGCAGGCGCAGCAAACCAAAGCAAAGAAACCGAAAACAACCAGAACCAGAACAACCCAACTAAACCAAACCAAAATCCAACAAACAATCCAAAGTCGATACGTATTTTTAGGCTTACAAAGGGAGTCCCCCCCAAACAGGGGGAATCCCCCAAAACGAAGCGGGGCACACCGAAAGCTTTGCCCATTGGGCATTTTTCCCGAAAAATGCCGGAAACTGAGCAAAGCTTTTGGCTGTGGGAAACACGCGGCACACGCTTTTCGCACCCACTGTGTGCGGCGGTGTGGGTGCGCCCCATTTGCATTTTACTTTCGTAGCAGCATACTTAATATACTTTTACTAACCAACCCGTACCGATTGCTAATGCCATTTTGTATAACCCACACAACATTTATTCCTAGCGTTCTGTTCGATTTGCATGCATTGAGTTAAGCCAACCTATACCTACTTATGTATATACCACCGTAACCACTCGTACTCGACACACCAGCTACTACCACTCTATTGCAGCCTCTCTCGATAAGTTATCGCCATAGCTAAAGCTTGTGATTCGGCTTCAGCTACGGCACTTTGTTGTAAGCGGTAAGAGTCAACCGGCATTGATCCCCCACCACGGATTTTTTCCACACATCCAGACAGTCTCCCCAAAGAAAAGAATTAAACATCATCAGGCTGAGATCTTCGATTCCCCGTCAGCGAACTAATGTTTATCATCTACCTGCCACAAAGCTCCACAGTTTGATTATGTTTTGCGCAATTGACTCGGATAACTAAGTATATATACAGGGAGCTCTGTCACAGAAAGACAGCAGACATCCAATAACAACCATACCAACAATCAACACATAAAAGTCCACAACTAAAACAACAACAACAATAAGCAACAAAAACAGCTGCATTATCAACAAACAGACTGTCATCTGAAAAATTGGCCCAACAAGACCGCCACAAAATTCGCATTGCACACGATGTAGTGTAAAACAAGTGCAGTATATATCACAACAAAAGCTTCAAAGTAACACTCTATAAATACTAGAACTATAATACACAACCAGACGGGTTGAGTTTTTGGAGACAAAACGCAATAATTGTTTTCATTTAAGCCACTAGTTTTGATAATTTTTCGCTGATATATAAATATATATATACATATAATGTGTTTTCTATTATCTATGTTCTTATTGTTATTCAGTTATCGTTCTCGCTTGATTTACCCCTCAGTTTGTATTCCGATTTCCGTTTACGACTCTTTTCTGTCTTGTCCTCTTTCGGGGTTGCTAAGCTTGGGATTTGCTGTTCGAGATTTTTGGTTTTCAAGTGTCCAACGTCAAGAATCCAGAATGAAGAGTCCAGAAACCAGCGTCGCAATCTCACCTTGCCCAGCATCAGTCAGTCAGTTTTGAGTTTCGAAGAGATAATAGTGCAATCTGCAACTCAGATCGAAATTGACTTGTACAAAATAGAAGATATTCCATATATTGAATTTATTAAAAAGTCCAGAAATGTCTAGATATATTAAAACAACATTGGCATATCCTGGAATTCGAATAGTTTGTTGTACCCACTATATACCCAATACCTATTTTCGGTTTTAAGGTCTAGATATTTCTGGGCCACCACAGATTGTAAATTATAGGATCATTTGATAGCGATCTCACACCCCAAACCCTCTGTATATACGCGCACACATATCTGTATAAATATGTATTGTTGTCTCCGGCAGAACAAGAGCAATACCAGGCACAGTTCGTAATACCAGGCGGCTCGACCAGCTCCGCTGGTCACCACCACATCACACTACCACCACCACATCCATACCACCAGCGGCAGTCGCGCGGCTCGGCGGGCAGCATCCAGCGGTCGGTGGAGGTGCCGCCGGTGCCCCCGGTGACCCGTTACAGTGCCGGCAGCATTCACTCTATCACTAGCTCCGAGGGCTCATCGTAAGTCTCCCGATCGCATCCGCATGGCCCCTTGGCCATAGCAAAAGTATGCGTATACTACCTTTCCGGCTGAGGACATCTATCATGCCTGCCTCTGTTTCTGTTCCTGTCTCTGTCTTTGTATCTCTGAATCTCTGACTCTCACTTCTCTCACTCTCCGACTGTCCAACTCAATCTAAAACTTTATATCCATTGGCTTTTGTATATGGTAATCTGTGTGGCGATCCCATCTTCAACTTTCCCCAAAACTATTTCATCCTGCAACTCTCTTTCTCTCTCTCTCTTTAATCGATGTCTGTGTGCGTGTGCCTTAAAAACCGCTGAAAGCGAACCTGCATTTGCGTACATTTTTTCTCTAAGTGTTTTCCACTGTTCCTTTCTTGAATTCCGTTTGATTCTTCGACTTGTTTGTGTATTTTTGTAATGTGTATAAATTGTGATTTTTTAACTTTGATTTGAACTATGATTTTCACGATATTTATAGTATATATATATATGTATATAAAAAAATATAACCTCACCTTTCGATGTGTGTGTAACAGATAGGACTAGTTTAAGACGAGCACTTACAGTGCTTGGAGTAATAAAAAAAAATAAAACTAAAAAGATATACAAATCAAAAAACCGCTAGATCTAGAGAACCTCCTTTCTCTTTCTTTAGCTGACTTAGGATTCTGATAGATATCTCCTTGTCCAAGCCACTTCGATCGTTAATAGTCTAACCTTCACTGCACTTTTGCTCCGTGGGACGAAAGACACTTGCATGCCACCATCGAACTGTGATTCCACAATGCCACTATATGATCTGCACCACCACCAGTGTCACCTTCAGTGCCACCACCTCTCACCCAACCACACACTAAGTCATTTCAGACCACAAAAACTGAAACTACAACATTTACTGTCTTTCTACAGCTCCCTGTGTATAAAGAGTTCTTTCTTTCTCAAAAACCATATCCTTTCTTTATGTAAATTATGTTACCTTAATTGAACATATCGTTAGATGAGAGATGATAAAAAAAAACCCACCAACGATGCTGTACTAAAGTATTTTCTTTAATGTACCCCTGTCCAAAACCCAAAACGCCCCCAATCCCCACATTTAGATTCTCCCCCTCGTTGCGCAACGATGGAGCCCTCAATGAGTTCGTAGATGGCCTCGGACCTGGTCAGTTGGTGGGTCGTCAGGTGCTGGGAGCTCCCTCGCTGGGCGACATCCAACTATCGCTGTGCCACCAGAAGGGCTGCCTAGAGGTGGAGGTCATACGGGCTAGGGGCTTACAAGTAAGTCGGGATGTTACTTCAATATCAGCTGAAGATCCAATACCCCTTTTTTATCGCACAGCAAAAAGCTCAGTCTAAAATGCTGCCCGCCCCGTACGTAAAGGTTTACTTAGTGTCGGGAAAAAGATGTGTGGACAAGATGAAGACCTCGTCGGCGCGACGAACTCTGGATCCACTGTACCAGCAGCAGTTGGTGTTCAAGCAGTCCTACACCGGTTGCATACTACAGGTGGGTCTCGTTAAATTTCACGTAATTCTCCACAGCTAATTTCTGTGCGTTTTCCCCAGATAACCGTGTGGGGCGATTACGGACGCATCGAAAAAAAGGTGTTTATGGGCGTGGCGCAGATAATGCTTGACGATCTGAATCTGTCAAACATCGTGATCGGCTGGTACAAGCTCTTTGGCACCACTTCACTGGTCAGTTGTCCCACTAATATAGGCTTAGGGTCTAGGCGCTCATCAATAGCCTCACTCGACTCACTCAAACTGTAGATCTAAACTAAACTGAACTCGACTAAAACCAAAATATTTTAAAATCAATTCGTACATGAAAAAAAACTAAAAACACAAAATAAAAATTTCGCAAATCGCAAATTTGATAAACAAAAACACTCGCATATATTTATATAATCCTACACACAGAACATATATTTATATAGTATTTCTCTCAAAGTTTTGTTCAAAGCAAGTTACCAAGGACAAAAGTTATACAACTTTGTCGCGTAAACAGTTGCAAAAACCTGTAAAATGAAATTCCAAGTTCAAAAGATCAGTTAAAAAAACAACAAAAATTAAACCGAAAAAATAGTCTATATCAAAGCATTTGTTTTTAGTTAGCAATATACACACGCACTCCTGTATATGAAAAGCTTATAAAAATCACGGTAACACACACACACACACACACACACACTACACAGCAATGAGGCCAAAGTAGAACGACAATACGCATTGTGTACTAAAATGTTGAATGGAGAGTTGATCGAAAGCAATCCAATCAAAACCAAAGTGCAAACCAAATTAATACGAAAATAACCTTTCGCAAGTCACCATAAATCACCGTTACCGTTAAAGTTACCGTCACTTCAACGTAGTTTTCACATAGACTCGTATAATACTCATATAGGTACGTTTCTCTATCCCCAACTACCCAATCAAAATCAATTTAATTGAACCGAACACCTCACTCAACCGTTTTGCTAAGTATTTTTCTAGTGCATGAGTAGATAAGTATTGACAGCTTACATTTAGAATCATTTTAATATATATTTAACACCAACTTTATTAAGTTAGAAACGTAACTTTTTGCTTTTAATTAATAATCCAGTACTACTTATTAACATAGCTTTTGTAATTCACAATAACCCCACTACATCTTAATATAAAATGGCAAATCCTGGCTAGTTAAAAAATATACATCAATCAAATAGCAATTTCCTAGGCCTAGCTCTTCGTAAATCTTTTAAACAATTAAAACCAGTGCTGTTACCAACCCAACTTTGAAACCACACCAGGGTCGTCCGATTGTTTGGGCCGGCGAATCAATCATAATGGAGGAGCCGGGCGAATAACAGTTTTCAACACTATCGACACCCAAACCAACAACCACAACAACGCTTACTTTAACAGCCACAACAACGAAAACACTTTAAGCACCTAAGCACAATTCAATTCAAGCGAACTCTAAACTGAACTGAATTCAGTAAGTGCACCCAATCAATTTAAATCAATTCAAGCTTATTCTCTAGTGCGCTATTCAAAACAAAACATACCGCCACTTTGCCATTTTACACAATCAAAAGATATACCACAAGAAATAAAATGAACTCCAGTGTAAAAAAAAGAGAAAAGAGAAAACCGCTACTAATCCACTTTGCCCGTTTCGAAAACGATTATTACAAACAACACACCCACAGAAAATCGCCACCCTAATCTATAATGCTAATCGATCCCTGTATCCTTGCAGTAACCATTCGCCCGTGCTGTCAGCCCGGCAGCCAAATAGCAAAGGACCAAGGGCTAGCCTGCAGCGGCGCATCCCAAGAAGCCGCCCGATCCTCATTCGGCAGGTTGCTGGCCTAAGCTAAGTCCACATCCATTTTTTTTCTATTCCACGGCGAAGGAAGATTTTGAATGAACAACAACAAACAGAACTAAATAAGAAATTAAAAAAAAAAGAGAAATATCTAATTTTTATAAGTCATGAAAACAAATGCATTTAAATGAACCGAGAACAGAGAACACAAGCAGAGCAGCAAAATGATTAAACACAACTACGGAATACAGCTAAAAGATAAATGTAAAGGAAGTCTATATATACATATACACATATATAACAGATAACATTTGACAAAGAATACTTGTAAATTATGCATATTTAAAATAATTTTTATCACACACTTAAGATCACTTTTATTTTCGTAATACGATTACTACGATTATTATTACTTAAAACTATTATTGATAAAAGGAAAAAAATATAAAAAAAAACACAAAACAAAAAAAGCAAAGGAGATGGTGGATAAAGTTCAAGTGCTAATGTCAGTCATGCATAAGCCTTAGCCTGAGCAAAGACGCAGAAGGATATAAATTGTTTATTGAATAAATAGCTAAATCTAAATCAGTAAAGGGAGTTATAGATTTTCAGAGGAGGGAGTTATTTAAGTATATATACATACATATATAAATCGATATATACATAAATATATTTACTGTTTAAGCAAGCAAAGAACCACTAACACTTAAATAAGCCTAACTTACGATAAAACCGATAAAGTTAAAGCTTAAGATTAGGTAACTAAAAAGGGATATGAAATATGTATTAATCGAACAACCAAAAGAACAACAAATATTTACCAAGCAAGAGATGAGAAAGTTTAACTTAATAATGCGAAATCTGAACTAAAGGATCTGTACATAGGATCCACACACGTTACATATACACTACATCCAGATTACCGATTACCAAAACTACCGCTTCCCCCAGTTTAGGCTTTATAGCTATTGGTTAGCTCTACGCCTCGGCTTAAACTCCTCAGCCACCCCAAAATGTACGAGTTTTTGCCGTCGGCGATGAGGATATAATTTAACTTAGAGCAAAGGAAAACTATCTCTTTCTATGAATATACTATATCGAGTTTTTGTTGTAGCTTTCCCCGCTTCACTTCGACGCGCTTTTAGGGCCGCTTTAAAGTTAGTTTGCCGCCTTGATTCCCAATCAACTTGCCTCGAAAACGCATCAAGTACCTTCAAGTTAATAGTGTGAGCTGTAAAAATCGTTACCTGCTTGCCAAAGAATCACGTACACTTACATAAGCATACATGGAAAACGGAAAAGTGCTACGGAAAACTCAAAATCGTTTGCAAATTAATGCATGTTAATTTGGGATATTTTTGGCATTTATTTGGGCAACATTTTGCAATGCATTCCTTGGGAGAAGCAAACATATCACTTGGCCTGCAGACAGATGATGGATGGGAGCAGTTAACTTTTATATATACATTAGGACATAGGTCAGGGGGATAAATATGATTATGAGAAACCTAGATATTGTTCCTATCCAGTTGTTTAGTGCTCGTTCTTTTTGCTTTCTCACTCATGGCTACGGATATTGAGTTGAACCTTTCCGTCCATTCATTCAGATACATACAGCTATACATGAACAGTTGCAGTTACAGCTTACAGCTTACAGATTGAGGTAAAATAAAATAATATATTTGACATGTGCATATCCATCCAAGCAGCAGCTTCCTATATCAGTACGTAAAAAAATGCCGAAACACAGGGAAAGTGCATTCAAAATGTTGCTGCAAAAAATCCCAAAAAATCGCTCATCAAGCATTGAAACAAAGAAGAGGAGGTTAACGCGCTTCTGATATTTGAGAAAAGTTAAACTACCAGCGAGGTTTCCAGCAACTAATTATACGATATATAAGTCAGAGAAACATACACTCAGATACATACATTATAGATAATCAGATTTGTACATTCCGCTCTTCACGAAACCCATACGAACTTTTCTATGATAAAACTCTATCTATCTCTACCTTTGTATTGTTTCCACGGCTCTCCTTCAACAAACATTCAAAGATGCTTTGACTACTCAGCAATTCAGCAAAAGGAAGAACAGAAATACAAAAAAAAATTTTCGGCAAGGTCGACGTTAAAATATCCTTTCCGAAACTAGTTGGAATGTGAATAGAAAATTCGCAGGAAATTTGTGCGCCCTTGGCGCTTCCAAAGCTTCGTTAAGGGCATTTCTACCGTACAGTCATACCAGAAAATCTTATTAGGATTCCTATAGAATTCGTAACATTTAAGTCACACCAAAGACAAAAGCATATAGAAAATGTTAATGATGCAAATGATATATTACGGCAAGTTATTTCAAAGGCAACCAATACAAGAAACAAATGCTATTTACTAAGTTCGATTTGAATGACAGGCGACGTTAATACACGATACACAAAAAGATAAACATCAAAAGGATATATCATTTATTGCAAATGTTGAACAAAATTGAATAAGGGCAAAGGTCAGCGCTCTCGTTGGGCGCCCTTGACACCTTATATTGTATTTTAATATCTCGACAACAATCGAAGGTCGAGAAACGACAATAAACTGTGAAATGAATATGTAAAAACAAAATAAAAAACAAAAACTTAAATTATATTAAAAATTGCAGAGAAGAGCATTATTAATATTGACGAACACAGAAACTTGAATTGTGAAAAACTAAAGAGAAAATTTAATGAAAAGCAACCTTAAAAGAACAAAACAAAAGAAAATTCATTAAAAATTGTTTTCTAATAAAGCAAAAATATGTATTTTACTCAATCAAACCAAGAAAAGAGTGGGTATTTATAACAACTTTAAATAAAACAAAATTTTATTTCACGATAGGCTTGGCATCTGAAATCAAATTTGAAATCCCCATTAAGGAACAAGACAGTTGTTGGGGGTTTACATAAAGCGGTGGTATTTCTTTATTTACCATTGATAAACCATTTAATCCGTATATCGTATATATAAATAATTTAAACATTTATTGATTTATGTTATTAAATATAAATGTTTAAGATGCATGCGCTATATCGGATACTGGGTTTAACCTTGCATTCATTTACAGGTTTTGCTCGCTAGCGCAATATAAATTATACCCAGGTTAATAAATCAAGTTTTTGTAGTTCACTTTTGGGACATACTTTGTATTTCTTTTAGATATTTTGTTTGAATAATTTTTTAATTAATTTTAAATTATCTTACAAAAGTTTTTTTCTTAAATGTTGATATCTCGTTTAGTTTAGTGCGTTTCACAAAGGAACCAAGTTAACGACGACATACTAAACTATATTTATGGCCTATCCACTATCGTATCAATGCTATGGATTTCTCAAGCTGGCTTCTAATATTTTATTCAAGGACTGTGATGGATGTGCATTTCGAAATGTATTATATTACTAATCAGTCTTTAAAAAATAAATACAAGCGGTCTATTTATTGCTCTTCATAGATTGTCCCAAACTACTATATTCACCGGTAGAGAAGTTCTTCTGTCGACTGGTGATTTAACAAGGCCCAAATGGGAATTTTGGACCATGAAGAGCAAACTCGTGTTCCGATTAAAAAAAAAAACGTACATTTATCTACTTAGTCGGCGGCAAGAAAAACAAAACTTAATAAGCGGGATAAATGGTGTAAAGACATTCCAGCGTGCAGTAGGTTTAGGTAGTAAGTCTTGTGCGTGTCAGATATGTATGGGGCCGGGATAGTATTCATTTGTATCATACATTAGATAATATTTATATTGTCGCTTTGTTACATTACATTTTACATTAATCTTAAACTGTAACCGTTGAGAGACCATAGAAAATACATATGCCAAAGCCATGCTGGGTGTCTATCATCTATGCCGACTAGCTGAAGCATAACGTTGTGGCTAGTTAGTGCCATAAAATTACGATTTACCACTTTACAGTTTATCCCTACAATAAAAACCATAGAATTGCAGCTTAAATTCGTATGCCTTTTGTTCCTTTTTTTCCTTGCGATAATAGAAATTGCTTAGGGAAAAGTACTTTGAGTGCTTGCACATGTTCGAGCTATGATATTTTTTTCCTTTCAGATTAATATTTCAAAAGGTCTTACAGTTAGCTATCGGTATTCATTCATATATGATATGATAAACTTTAGTTTACATTGATTACTTAAACACGATTAGCTTATTATCTTACACATTGTATACGAGCATAGCATGTATAAATATAAATATATATATTTAGAATTAGCCGTAGGTGTAGTTGTAGTTTAGATGTAGATATAGTTTAAGGTTCAATTTTTTCATTTGCGTGGGTCATCTGAGTGGCAGTTTGCGCTAAATACTTGAGTGGATCATCGTCAAGGCAAAGCAAATAATGAATAATTTAAGTTATGTAGGATTCGGTAAACATCTAATCCCTTGGAAGATGAGTGGATTTGGTATGGCTTCTCTTGGGGCCCGGAGCTGTACAAAAACCGAGAGGCTAACTTAGAGCGATATGGGTACAAGGGTTTAAGACATTGCAAGATTGTAATGCTAGGGGTCTACTCTACGATTGCACTACAACACAAGTCTCCATAAATTCCAATAATTCTGGAAGCAGCCTATCTGCTCTTAATTTTTTCCTTTTTTAATATATGAATTTGTTTGGGTACTCTTAATATATCCATCTATTTATGCCGTAGTGCAATCAGACAGTAACTTAGAGAAGAACAGTTCATGGGGTTTTAGAGGCCAGGATTACAATGCATCTTGCAAAAAGTCTAAGTTCATAGTATAGTAGGTAAACCTGAAGCGAAAGCCCTCGTCATCCTAGTGCAGCTGAGCCGTCACATACAATCCGCAGTCCTGGTCGGAGGCCATGGAGTAGTTGGCCGAGTCACGATCCTCGGGAATGGTGGGATGCGTATCGTGCGGCAGCTTGGCGAAGGCGTGATGGCCAGCTCCGTAGCCCAGGTGTCCGTAGGGCGACTCCGCCGCCTTGGTCACGTGCGGCAGGCGGCGCAGGAAGTGCGGGTTCGAGTAGCGCACTCCATTTGGCAGCGTGGTGTGCGGCTGCTGACCGCTACTGTTGCCCAGGGCCACAGATGCATTGGCGTAGTGCATGCTGCTGGGGGTCATAAAGCTGGACACTTGCGAGGGCGGCAGTGGTGGCATTCCGCCGCCCATGGAACTGGTCATCGCCGAGGTGGAGGCGTAGCCACCGCTCCCAGCGAGCTGCTGGCTGTGGCAGCCCACCGGCAGTGGCATCGTGCTGCAGTGGGCCGTGTAGTCGAATTTCTGATCCGGCACCGAACGCTGCAGCGGCAAAGTGGCACTGTTGATAACCGACGACGACGATGACGACGAGACGGTAGATGGATCCGCGTTGAAGCTGGACATGCGCATGTTGGTGCAGCGGCCGTATGGCTCTTCCTGGATGGGCGGCTGCTGGGGGCGTGGGGGCGGCTTGCTGTTGGCCCGCGGTCGGATAATCACCTCCAGTTCACGTTCCTCGCCCGAATGAACTCCGCTGGAGGACTCGGAGGGGGCACGTTCCGGCGGCGAGGTGGTGTTGGTGCTCTCGGTGGTGGAGGTGGTGTCGCTGCGGGGCGTCAACGCCTCGTTGGGAACGCCCGAGTCGGCGCGGCGCAGGCAGCGGGGTGTGGAACTGGAGGCGATCTGGGCATGGGGTAGAAACACAAAGAGAGAGAAAGAGAAATAAAGACAGAGACAGTGGGAAATCAGTGAAAGCGGTCAAGGAGCTGCTGGGATAATGAGAGGCTCTGGGTGGTGATGGTAGGGGCTCTGCTTCAGCGTTGCCCCGCCTGCAAGTGAAAACGAAATCAAATCAAATCGGGGAGTCAGTTTCGGGGAACCTTTCTCCGCTTCCATCTCCTTCCATGGAACATCTATCAACCCGGGCACCAATTCGGACAGGGTCGCTGCCGTCCCCCAGACCAATTCCATAGCCATGTCGCTGTCTGTGGCCCTGGCACTGATTTATGCTGTCTCATAACAGCAAACATAAATCTCATGCTGCTGCCGCTGCCGCTGCTCCAGAGGCGTGACATGCTACACGCCCCTACATGACGACGCATCGCCTCCCTGCAATGCCACATGCAAATCACAAGCGAGAGCACAAACCTATTCAAACTTACTGTGCACTATGCTGAAGGGGGAATACTCTGGCAGTGGGTGCACCTAAAAGTCTGGGAACTAAATTCGTTGTACAAGGGAATCTAGTTAAAAACTCCAAGAGGCCAAACAGAGTCAAACCATTTAGTGGTAAAACATTTTTTAAGATCAAACGATTTCGTGATAGGTTTTTTAATACAAAATTGTAAATGACTCTGAATTTCTGAAAAAATTAACTCGAAATTAGCTAGAAAAAACTAGAACGCCAACGACTATGGCCTTTCTTAGTAAGAGTATACGCTGTTTAAATACAAAATGTAAATCTTTGACTCAAAATAACTTTTTCACAACATGTATTTTCGGTTTAAGAAAAGTATTGCAAGCTTTCAAAACTTTAATAAAATTAAATACCCAGTAGAGCCTTTCCTAGTAAGAGTATCTATCTATACAATAAAGCCACCCATATAAATGTTTTCTCCACTTACATGCGCTTCGTTGGTGTGAACTGCGACCGTGACCGGAGCCAAGGGGCTGACTAGATGCTGATGCTGGTGCGGATTGCCCTGCTGCTGGAGTGGATGCTGCGGTGGTGGTGGCGGCAGCTGTTGCTGCTGCTTCGGTTGGAGAGGATGCTGCTGTGGATGCTGAAGCGCATGCTGAAGTGGATTGTGGTGGTGCTCGGGCGACAACTGCATCATCTCGGGCATGGCTTGAGGGGCCCGTCCGTAGATGCCGGGATGGGGCAGTACCGCTGGCGGCTGTGGCACGGGAGCTCCCTTCATGGGCAGCGGCGGAGGTGGTGGTGGTTGGCTGTGTGTCTGGGCCTGCGCCTGGCCCTGGGCCGACGGCTGTGGCGGCTCCAGATCCCTGGTGGAGGCGTATGTGATGCTGTCGTCGCGCACACAGGCCAGCAGTTTGCCCTCCTCGGAGATGTTGTCGTCGCTGATGCCACCCAATCCGCTGAGGTTCGCATAGTCGTGGGGATGTCCATGGGCAAAGGATTGGGCTGGCCGCTGCTGTTGCTTCTGTTGCTGCTGCTGGTGATGATGGTTAGCCGGCGGCGGTGGAGGAAGTTCATCGTACTCCGAGAGATGGAGCAGACTGACCCCCACCGAAGTGTTGCTGACGCCTCTCTTCATGCTGCCCATGGTGATGCCCACGACGGCTCCGGCGGTGGCTGCCCTTAGTGTCGCGTACTCGCCGTCGTCAATTTCCCCCGCAGCACTGGCAAAACATATCGAGGCTCCACGGCTCGAATGGCTAGAGGAGGATATTGTTTTGGTTAGTGTGTTATATATTAACATATGAAATTGTCGCCCTGTGTTGGTTGCTTTTAGGTTTCTGGGAAAAGAATGAACCAAATGGGCTAAATACAATATATTGTAAGCCATTTTTTATAATTTAAAATATTATACGACCACACATTTGAGCAATTAATTACATAGATTGATATTTACGTTAATTTATTTCAATTTAAAAAAAGTTTTTTTTCACTGACGTATTTATTTAGTTAGTTTGACTTTTTATGTTTTGTTAAAATAATTGTTTGTCTTGTTGGTAACAAACCATAATGTTTCCTTAAATAACTCTGTTAAAAATGTTGTAAGATTCATTAAATTCCCTTGATTCCTGAGTTAGTTCAATGCATTTCCGGTTAGTTAAACAATTACCAAGGACAACAACAACACGGCGACATCGACAACAACAACACAAAATAAGAGAACGCTTTGTTTTAGTAGTAATTGTTAATTGAAATTCAATTCGCCCACACTCAATTAGCTAGTTAGTAGTAATTAAGTTCTAGTTAAACTAATAATTGTAAAATAAAATGAAAAGAATCGTTTTTAAAAAACAGGCGACAAGCGGAACAAAATAGTTTCTCATCATTATTCTTTATCATCTATACATACATGTCTTTCTATATATATAAATATATATATATGTATTTGGATAAATCGTTTTGTTATGTTAAATTGAACAATCGTTTTAGTGGACAAACAAAAGCTTAAACTAAACAAAAACACAAAATGTGGTTACTTAAAATGGCGAATGTCAGAAGCACGCACGAATCGGAACTGAAGAATATAGTGCTGGTATATGTGGGAGAAATTAGGTGTGGCAAAACACTGCACTAATGACTAGTGTTGGGCAATTAGTTTTCAATAATGGATCTTCCCCAAAGTGGTACGTGCAAAGGAAACACACCGATAAAGTACAAAATGAATGAATTAGCAGTCTAGGTTAAAGAAATAACAAAATCACATGGAATTCCTGAAAAGTGGTGCTGGGGTGGTTTATGTTTTGGGTGATTGCATTATTTTTTTTATTATTGTTTTGTTGGGTGGTGCAGTGTGTGAGAACAAAAACTAAATGAAACTAGTTGCTATGGTTAGAGTTAAGAGAACGGACAAATACGGAGCTTCGAACCCGTAATGCTTTTTGTTTCGTTGTTGGTAGCTAAAAAACGATTTTTTACCGCTTGCCATCAGTTTGTTCTTGGTCACCAATTAGTAGGACATCATCAGACGTACTCGTAACTTCGTTGAAGGTGACCTTCAGCTTGGGCGAACTGGGCGTCAGCTTGGGCCAGTAGATGTCCTCCTGGGCGACTAGTCCCATGCCCGTCCCGCCCATGCCCCCATTGATACCCCCGCTCATCCCCAGTTCGGTGCTGGTGGCCGTGCTCATCATGTCCGGCTTGGAATCGCCTCCATTCACGGTGGTGCTGGTCGAGTTGCAGCCACTGCTGCTGGAGTTGCTGCCCGTCCGCTGGCCGCTGGACATCAGAAGCGGCTGGGCACTAGACTTGCCCAGCAATCCTCCGTAAGTGCTGTCCAGCGGCGGCAGCTTAAAGTGCCAACGCCGCTTGATGGTCAGGCATAGCCAGATGACGATCCAGAGCAGCAGGTGTGTCACTCCAACGAGAGCTGCAAAATCGAGACACAAAATACGGTGAGAGGGCACAGGTGGCAACGTAATACGGTTAAGGCGCAGACCAGCCGTTTGACAGCTTAATTGGACCGAGTCTGCAGCTCAATTGTCTCGCCTAGAGTGACACTCAATATGTCTGCTGTGTCTCAACGGGTTATCTATCCGACGATTAACGCTCAAACAACCGCACATTCACAGTCCAAACAAGGCCACTAATTGGCTTAGACCACAAAACATACCTCAGACCGAGTCCAAGGCGGTGGAGGTACTTGAATCGGTGGCCATCCAATTATGCAGATTCAATACAACTAATCACATGTTCAGTGATTTTCATCACGGGCCATTCTGTGCTATTAATTATCTCAAACGTATCAAAATGAACTTATTGCTTCAATCACAAATGGTTTAAAATTTAAATTTTGATTTATAATTTACAGACTAAAAGCTTCCTAAAAAAATACTTTTGATTTGGTGTTTGGCCAAAAAACCAAATCACACACTTTAAGTTTCTTAGGAAAAAGTAACAATTTACAGTTTTAAGTAAATGTAATGTCAAGCCGATGATATTTTTTATTTTAGCTGAAATGCGGCAAATTTGTAATTTTTGACTTGTTACTTGAAAAGCCTATACTTTAAGTTGACTATTAATAATAAATTATCAATCAATCAATAAAACTTCGTAACAATTCTAATCCAATTCTGACCTACTTGTATATATATTTTTAAAAAGCCAAAGCACTGATAAGTTCTACTCACCGGCCAGGAATGTGGGGCAATGAAGGTTGTTCTTGTACGTGGCACTAAGATCGTTCAGGAGCGGCGCTTTCACCACCGCTAAGGCAAGGACGAAGCACAAGGAGGCGCAGTGGGCGAAGTAGATCCAGGTCTGGTGACTCTTCAGCGTGATAATCGAACGATCCCGCATCCGCGTGGCCAGACGTCCGTGTCCGTACAAATACATGACCATCGAGGAGGCCACCACCAAAGCAATGGACAAAAGATACAGGGATAAGGTGACCACGGCGTTCAGAATGAGTCCGGGCTGATGAACTGGCATGGCCTCGGCGTAGATCTGAAGCTTGTACAGATTCGAGACGCCCACATAGCCGAGGATAATGTCCAAGGCAGCCACTACCATTTGAAGGCTAAACACGCAGGCAAAGGCCTTGGAGGTGTTCCAGAAAACTGCCGGATATCGAACGGACCAAACCAATAGGGCGCACAGTAAGTTCACAAACTCGGCACTGGGTGGTTGGGAGAAAATCGCCACATCAATGGGTTTATCGATGCCGAAGAAGAGCTGCAGCATTCCGGCGAAGCCATCCAGACGGACGTAGTCCTGCCCAGGCTTTGGGTTGGTTGGTGCCGCCGGTGATGCTGGGTTCAATGCGGGCACTGCCTGAAAGTCACTATCCTCCAGCTCGAAATCCTCGCTTTCCTCCGGCTCCTGCTCATTTGATTTGGCCACAAATTCACTGGAATTTATATTGGCATCGCCGAGCAAATATTCCGGTTCGATTTCGACTCCGGCCGCCCGTTTGGCAATCCTGCGCTTCTGATTCTTCGGTTTGATAGCAATGATCTTCGAGTTGGAGGCGGAAACGGGCGTCGAGGGTATGGGCACTTCCGGCAGTACCTCGGGCCTCACTCGATGGATGCTGCTGTCGCGGGTGGTGGTCTCCTCCTCCTGGAAGCTCTCGAGGATTGCCTGCTCGTGCGAGGCGACGTGATGGCGTCGCGGTTGTTGCTGTTGCCGCTGTTTGTTGTGATGCTTGTGGTGCTTACGGGCTTTTCCATGGTGGTGATGTGGTTGCCTGCTGGTAGTCTGAATCTCAACAGGTTTGACGGTCGTGGTGGTGGTGGTGGTGGTGCTGCTGCTACTAGTTGTCGTTGCAGCCGTTGTTGTGGTCGTTGTTGTTTTAGCGGTGCTGGTAGATGGTGTTGTACTAGAGCTGGTTGTTGTGGTCTCTTTGCCCAGGGTCCCCAGCATTTCCCAATTCTTGACATTCAGCTTGCCGGCGTCAGTGGTGGTTGTGGTTGTCGTGCCAACTGCGGTTCTTGGCGGCAACTCATCGAAATCGGGCATGATGACGGTTCCCTCCTCACCGAAGTCCTCCCCATCCCCATCTCCATGGACGTCATCCTCACCCCGCATCGCCTCCTCGAGCTCCTGGCGCTCCTCTTCGTCAATATCTTGATTAATTAAATCGGGTACTTCAAAGTATCGGCCCTTGCCCGCATTGGTTGTTGTCTTCGTTGTTGCCGTCGTCTTGGCCGCCTTTCTGCCACTTGCCTTATCGAGTCGCAGGTCGAACAAATTGTTATTGCCCCCGGCTGGCACTCCACGGATGGCCGTGAACATGGTATCGTTGAAGTAGTCCTCCTCGTCCTGTTCCAAGCTGTTTGCGGTTAGATTCAGTCTGGGCTGGCTATGGTGCTGCTGATGCTGCTGCTGCTGGCGGTGCCTGGGGTAAGGTGTGGGCCCCACCACCGACAGGGCTATCAAATTGCGTCGATTGATCACAACAAAGTCCAATTCAGTGGCCCAAATTTGCTCTGCAATGGAAAGAACAAGAGAAAGTTCAGGGTTTGAGATGGACGGGCGCTCAAGTGTATAGAATGAATTGCTTTGAACTTGGATGGTGGATGCAGCCAAGATGCTTTCGCATCTAATTGGAATACATCACGCAGGATTACATGGTAAGCACCTGTTAAGGACATACGCACACACACTCCAGCACACCCCTTGCATAAACATAAGCTCATGTAATGAGCAGAAGGCTTCCTGTCTTTCACTCCAATTTCCCTTCATTTGTGAGGCAATGGCAATCGTTAATTAAATGACGCATCAATACTTTCAGGGCTTCTATAATCCACGCCCTGTTGATTATTAGAAGCGGATGGAGCCTGAATCGAAATGAATACCAATCAACTGAACTGGACTGTCCAGACAATGGGGAAAGCCGGTCGAAAGGCAAAAAAGAGGAACACGAAACTATTCTCATTTCAGTTCGATTCGACCCAAAAGGGATAACAATGCACACAGTTTCACCATTAGGACCTGCTCAGTTTGGGAGGTCTAATTAGGCGCACAATGGAAACACATATACTCAATACACCCCCTACCATTTCACCCCATCTGTTTACGGTATCCATTATACATACCCAACTTCGGAGTTGATAACTTAGCTGCAGTGGCTTAACTCTTGCCCATCGGCCCAGATTAATATACATGTTTATTACGGTCAAGCCGTGGCTCAGCGATTTGCTGGAGTGAGCTGAGACTGGGGATTCTCCACAGGAAATGTTCTTAGGCAAACAGCGAAATGCCCAATGGTCTCGGGAAACAGATTTACACAGTCCTCAGTATTTATATGTATTATGTTCTTTAAGCAGGAATAATTATCGTAGAAATTCCTAATATTTAGCTTCGTTGTTGAGACGAGCATTTTAATCTGCTTTGCCGTTGTAGTAGATTGCGTTTCAAAGGATAAAATATTAAAGTTATTCGTGAACATAAAGTATTGAATTTAGAGCGCTCTCTATATGTTTTAAGACTTAAACTTAAAATACATATTCAGGATTTTAAGGAGATTACTTCTATTGAAAGTGAAATGCCTTTAGAACTAAAAAAAACATTCTACTTCTACTCTCACATCTCCTAATCCCAATTAAACCCGCCCAGGGATTCTCCAATTTGTTTGTCTTAGCCCAGTTAAGACGCTTGTGAACTTTGTGAAGATATCTGAAGGCTTTTTAATTAGTTTACTTTATGTTGTCGCTCATGGCATCATACACATAGCACCTATAGAATGTTCTAGTTAATAATGGAGCGGTCAAAAAAAAGAAAACCGAAATTTGCCAAGTTAACACTTTCATAAAATAATTTATTAGTCGAGTTGCTTTTAGGACATTTACCCAGCGGGCGGTTGGAAATAAAAGAAAGCCGCCGAAACGGAAATTGCCGAGCAAATATTAAAGACAATGGCCTGAAACGAAGAAGGGCCAAGATGGCCGAAGCCAGCTCGAAAACCAAAAGACACGAACCAAGTCGGAATTACAACAATGGCTGCCATAATAATATGTCGTTGCTGCCATTGTCGTTGCTGTTATGGCTAAAGACGAAGCGGCAAGTGGCTCGTAAAACCGACAACACCGAAAATCTGAAGATTAACCCGGAGGCCTGCCACCACATGCCATCTTACCACCCATCCTCCCTCTTGATTATGCCAATGACAATAACACCAACGAGAACGAGAACGAGCGGCCGAAGGGACGATGTACGACGGATGCTGGAGCTATGGGGATAAGAGTAATGAAAATGCGCAAATCCAACTCCAGCGGTAATAGTTGCGATAAGACGGACCCACAATCCACCATCCACCGTCCAACCACCCCGCTCCAATCGCCCGCCCCTTCCTGCAGCTGAAACTCGCGCTCGTTAAGTCTTTAGCATGAATAATGATAAGTTCTTGGCGGGAAACAAAGCCAATGTACAGTGGCAGTCAGAAAACTATTTTCTTTGGCTCTATAAGCTTTGTTTGTCTAAAACATTCGTAACATCGTTTAGAAAAGTATTGTTTATAGATTATTGTAATAATTATAATATTTTGTTTCCTTAAATTTTTCCAACGAATTGTGACCATTTAATCTTCAACTTAAATCTTTTTTAATTAAACGTCTGAAATTAACGGTACTCTTTCAGTGATTTTTCTGTAAAAAAAAATACTCAATGTTGCCAGTAATCAAATGGGAGCTTATTAAATAAATAACAGGAGTTAGTTATTTAATTAAAGACATCGAGTTTTGCATTAATACAAATTTTTTCAATTTTTTTTATATTTGTATATACTTTGTAATGCTACAAGTAAAAGTACTCAAATATATGATATCGAAATCAAGACATAGTTTTGAGAACAGTAAAAAAAACTATTTTAATATTCAATTCAATTCGCAACAAACTCAGAGCAATATAAGTTTTAACATCACTGTGCGAAAAGAGCACCCCCAACGGACAATCCGGGGCCTATGTCTTAAGCCACTTCCGGAGCACCCAGCGAGAAGGCACCCCATTCACGAGCCACGTGGTAATCTGAGCCAGCCTGTTTAACAGCCTTTTATGCGCTCAATATGGCGCTGGACTGGGGCCTACTGTTATCCATCCACTCTTTCCTGTCCTTCCCGACCGTTCTCATCTGAATTTTCATTTGTTTTTCGCCAAAGATGTCTGCATTAATTATTTATGAGTATAGGATGGTGGACAAGTGATTTCGCCATAAAATTGTCCTTCGAAGTGATTTTTGTGTCATCTATTAATGAAATTATTTAATGAATTGTGACCACTTCCTCACTTCCCATGAACACGAAACTTTTTTTAATCTTTCTTTACTTTTTTTGCTGTCGACAACAGCTGCAGGTTGTCGGAAACTTTTGATTATAATATTTAAATAAGTTTTCTTATACTTTGATATGTAAATGGGGCAGTGTGAGAGAAATCTATCGCATAGTTATGGGAGAACAGTTATATAATATGGTGCTCATGTTTTGTAGACAATTTTACGTTTAATTAACCTTCTTGAGATTATCTTTGCATTGTTTTATCCAGGCACCTTACTTTTATAAGTTCTTCATTAAGCCGTTATTTACAGCTCCCAAAGCAACCATTGCGTATACGCAATTTCTCCAAAGTCGTTAAAGTTCTTGCTGAATTTAATGAAAACGTAATCATGGAATGCATTTGTGGCCACATTTTCCACTCCTTTGATGGCCTTTCCTTGCAGCTTTTTATGAGAGTTGGGTGAAACTTTTAAAAGCATTTTTTATGATACGCTCCGCCTAATTGCTTCCTCTTTCTGTGGTCCTGATTTTATGCTAATATAAAAGTTCTGTTCCCACCCACTTATTAGTTTCCAGCTCTCTAATCATTGCCTGTCAATCAACTTGCAGAAAATTTTTAATTGTGGGCTGAAAATCATAATTCTCAACTTACAGACCTAAGCGCATCAACCGGGCCGACGGGCCAATCTTGACCAGCTTAAGTCTTTAAGGATGTCAGACGCGTTGACAAATTGCGAGGGACAAAAAGGCAAGAAAAATGGAACAAAATGGAAGAAAAAGAAAAAATTCAGCCAGTCAAGCAGTCAACCGAGCGTGAAAATGGCCAAAAGAAGTCGCGCAACAAGGCATTGCACTTAGCTTGACCAGCTGGCCCCTTGGCTTCTGGCATCCCATCCACCCATCCATCCCCCTTTGCCAAGTGCAACTCTAGCTTTGACTGCACATTTTATTTGTGCCAATGATTTTCTAATTTAAGAGGGGGCGTGGGTGGAAAAACAATTTCCCGCTCAGAATGGACTGCACATCGACCACCGCACTGAATGTCTGTTAGCGACAAGCGATCGACTTTGTGGCAGCAAACCAGCAAAAACAGGAGCCGCAAAAAAAAAAAACGACAACGAAATTAATTGAAAAATCACATAGAGAGGTCCCACAGCATGCAAGTCAGTCAGTCAGTCAGCGAGGATTTAAACTCATCTCGTCATAGTTTTTATGATGCCAATCCAACCCAATGCCCTGCAGTTGATGCCACATTTTTAATTTACTCCGCGTGGAAACGATGTACTCTCGATGCCATTGTCTTCTCTTCGCCCTGCCCAGTGGTTCACTTCTGTTCTCCATTTCCCACTGGTTCAATAAACCGGGCAAACAATTCCGGACCAACTGCTGGCCAGGGAACTCCGGATCGTACCCGCTTTAAATGTAGTAAATTTTGATTTGGCTGCCGACGCTGCAGCTATAGCTTTCCATCAACATTTCCCCCATCGCTTTTTTTTCCCTTTCGCGATTCCTGCCGCTAGCCCCATTTGCGGCCATTTAGCGAAAGTTTTCGTTAAAAAGGGTATGTATACTTTACAAAGCTGTTTAGGAAGTTAGCATTCAGTTAAAAGCGTTCCATGCTAAGCCGTTTTAATGTAATGATAAACAATCGTTTGTTTAAATATTGATCCTCCGCACTTGAAAGAACAAAGCGAATATAGCCTAAGTTAAGCCGGCATCTTCTGAAAAGTATGCGAAAAATATTATTTTCAAAGAAAAATCTTGTCATTAACTCTAGATTTATTTTTTATGTCAAATTGTGAATACCTACTTGGTTGTATAGAATAACAAACTAAACAGATATTTAATGAGTAGTTATTTTAGATTTAAGCTCAGCAAGTTACCAAAAAAAATTAATAATTAAAACGAATGCTTGGCGTCTTAGGGCACTTTTCCATTCGCCTGTATCCAACTGATTTTAAATTAGATGCCATTACTTTTTTCGCCTGTCATTAACTGTGGAATTAGTTTACTGTGCTGCGACTGCGGCATCATGTGAGACTCGTCGATCCGAGTGTACACAGAAACATAAGGACAAACACACGAGGAGCTCCTGGGATGATATACAAACAGAGGCCTGCCGATGTGGCCCAGGACTCATTCGACGGTGTCCTGCTCACAGTTGGCCAACATTTGCACAGTTTTGTGTCGCTCGGCTGGCTTTCGCTGTTGCCATTGCTGCTGCCTTGTTATTAACATGGCTTATTGCTGGCCATAATGGGCCCACCTCGTCCCTGACAACCTGTTCCCCTTTCGTCCCTTTTAGTATGTGAGTATATGTTTACTCCTGCGGTTGTTAGCCTGTGTGCTGCTCGCTCGTTCGTTTGTGTTTTTGTTTGCCGAGCGGTCTTGCACACACACACACGTGTAAGTATATACCGTAGATGTTTGGCCAGCAGATTTCCCCAGCGATTGCCTTTGAAGCTGCTGCTCCAGCAAACTACTCCTCGGCATTTTTTGAGTTTGCCCCGGATATTCCCCTAAGTTCACTTTGTTAAGCGTCCTTCGGAGCATCCTAAAGTTCCTGTTTAAACAGTTTGCAATGGCCCCCACAACATATGGCTGCGAATTTAAATTGGCCGGCTCATTCACCCAGCTCCATTTTCCCCAAAGGAGGAGGTAAATTGCCGACAATTTCGGTTCGTTTTAAGCACAATAAATTAAATTAAAACACAGAATGGTAACCCAATTGTGAATTGATTGCATCGACAATGGAAATTATGATTGATTTAAGACCCACCTACTCTCCCCAGCCGGGAAACTGCCTGTACTCATGTTCATTTTAATAGTTGTCATCAGCGACAGCCCAGTGTCATCGTAATATCAATATGACTGTGTACAACGTAGCGTATGCTTGACAACAATAAAAGGGGATAAATGCAGTTCGTGCTCTGCAACATTGTGCATGGGTTATTCTCATCCCCACTGCCTCTCGGCGGTTCCTCTTCCGCGGGAAATGCGTAATCGACATGGAATAAAAAATAGCGATGAAAGTGGCTCAGTCAACGGGTCGAAAATTTCAGTACCCTTTCGTAAACATTTTATTTTTGTACTAGAGCAGGTGGTAAAACAATAAAAATTGTAAGTATGTTTGTTAATACACAGTTTTGATACAGCTCAAGATTGGCATATATCGTTTTTAAAAATTACTTGAAATACTGAAAACCATAACTAATATTACAACTTTCTGACGAATGTAAAAAATATTCAATACAGCTAATATTTGGCAAAATCAGTAAACTTTATCAAGTTGTTTACCATTTCCGTGAACTAAACCTTCCCCCATTCATTGTGAATGCTCCTGCTTAATCAAGCTCACCTTTTGGCAGCAATCCATTCTCAATGATTCGAGCCTCGAGCAGCAGGCGCGGCAGGAGCAGGCAGAGGCCAATCAGGATGTGGACGAAGGCCGCCGTGGGTCCTCCGTGGGTCCAGAGTGCTCGGAGAGTTCCGCCACGCGACTCCTCCTCCAGGCCATCGTGCGGCGAAAGCGTGCAGCGCCGTTCCCTGGCGCCGGTGGCCAATTTAATGCCGTCGTTTGCCAAGTTGCCAACCTGTCGAGTAGTCCACAAAATTTGAGATTATTAAAATGAAATATACATACAAGTGCATTGCTCCCCCATCTGATTCAGTGGGTTGTACAAGGGAAAATTCTGCACATATGCAAATGATCTATCGTAGAGGGGATTAAATTAGGTGGAGCCAAGGACTTGGCAACGAATGCTTATTGATTCAACCACGCATTCGCTTTTGTCTCATGGGCGGGAATTTTAAATTCCAAAGACTCACTTAACTTCCTGCCAAATGTGCATGCATATGCAATTTAATTTTCTTTAAGCTGCGGTGGTATCATAAAATGAATCACAATTGCTAGAAGCTTCTTTAAACAAGATGTTATATACATAAAAAAGGAAAGTTTTGTTTCTTACTAAACAAAAGAAGAGCCCAAGCTAAAATGGAAATGAAAAATATTAATTCAAATAAATTTTTTCAGGCCCATTACACAAAATTAAAAAAAAAAATCGTGATTTTTCTCTTTCTGTTCATAGATTTAATTCTTTGCAGTGTTAAATATTGACATTAATAAGAATAAATATTTAAGTAAGAACTTAACCAATCCTTAAATACTAGTCAATATCAGACTGCCAGAAATCAGGAATTTCATTCAACGCGTAATTTTTTTGCTGAATAAATTACTCAACTGTGCATATATCAAATGGGAAAAGCATTCCATAATTGCCGGCAACAGGCGAACGGCCACAGGGACTGTCAGGAAGATGTCCTTGGTTGACCGCACACCAGTCCAAACTGTGCGTTGACCAATTTGGTATACTCGTCCCTTGGGCCAGAGGCAATTAATAAAAAATATTCACATATAAAAACCACTAAAGCTACGAGGAAACTTTAATTGAACATGTGTAGAGCAGAAACAAAAATCCGGCCAAAAAGTGCTTTTGTGTTTTGTATTTTAATGCATTTTTTATACGATGTTTTCGCATTTTGAGCGACAGGGCGAGAGAAACCAAAGCGTTGCGCATTCAACGCGTTGGCGCATAAACAACAGGAACAAAATAAAGAAAACGTTGCACGTGACAAATGGAGAAATGAAATATTTATATACGAGCACCCATGCAATATACATGCATCTATTATTTCCCATATATATATTCTCACGCTCCCTCCACATTTATTTGCGCGAGCCAGAAAAAAAAACGAACATTAAAATCACGTGCACCATATATATAAATAAATGCGAGCTGTCGGGCTTTTAAATTAAAAACAAGCAGACATCAGCATGATGAAGGAGCTGGATATGAATCAGGATCTAAAGCAAAAACAGCACGAGCAGAAAATGGAACTCGACTCGTTCACTTTGTTTTGCTGGGCTCCGGTTTTGGTTTTGTTTCATTTCGTTTGGTTTGGTTTTGGTTTCGCCTCGTTTCGGGCGCAACAATGATTGCAATTTGCGAAAAGCGGAGTGCATTCGAGGAGCAGGGGGAAAGTTGAGTGCCAGACAGGTAATACATTTAAATGTTCGCGGCTCCTTCACTGTCGGCGAATCATAACCAAAACATGTCACTGCGTGTAGACTCATTAACGTCTTAGACTAGAAAGCCCTAAAGGATTAGGTAAGAGTTTCAAGGTCCATTAATTTGAATTGCACAGATAAAAGGCTTTCAGAAGTTTTGATTATCATTTTAAAAACATTCATTGTAAAATAAACAATTCAATTTGATCACGATCTATAGGTAAAGGTAAATGTCTATTAGTAGTCTAAAGGTGTAGTCATAGTAATATCATAAAAATAAAATTTTTAATTTAAAATTTATTTGAATACATATTTAATGACATCTGAAAAGGCTATATAATTGTTCATCAAAATAAAAAACATTTACTTAAGACAATTTTTAAAAAGAACTATATATTTCCAATTTAGAAAATCATAAGAAATCATGGCAAACATATCTCGAAAATTCCTAACCGGGGTATCAATTGCTGCATTTGAAATGCGGTTTGTTCTGCCAGCCCATTGTTTTATTCGTTTATTTTCGAATGCTGTGCAAATATGAAAATCGCAAAGTTTTCGCATCTCGTCGTTATTGATGTGACAGTTTGCCAACTCCATTGTGGACCTGCTCTTCTGCCGTTTCACCCAGATTTCCTCGGCTTTCCACCGCTTTTCCCAACTTTTTCTATTTGCCCGAAGCCTTATCGGTCGACACAAACTCGTACCCCTAGGAAAGGACGTAAATGTGACTGGTCTGGTGGTCTCACTGCTGGCAAAATAGAAAAGGAACTAAGCAAAACTATGAGCTTCTCGTCCTGCTCCTGTTGCTCGTCCTGGTTTCGGGACTCTGGTTCCTAGTCGCTGCTGGGGACCTGATAGCCACGCCTCAATGGTCAATGTTTTGTTGTTGAAGTTTGCAACCAATTTCTGTTCGTTGTCGTTGCTGTTGCCTTTTATTAAACGTTCGGTGACGTGTGATGAAGCCCTTTCCCCCGGCTGTCTGTGTTTTTCCACCCCCCTTTCCCTTTGTCACTCTGCTCGTTGGCGGTTTTCGGTAGTTTTCCCCGGCTTTCCTCGCTTTGCATCGCCCTCTGTCTGGCCGCTGACTGATAGGCAGCTTTTGCCAGCATTTTTTGACTGCTCTTGATGATGTTGTTTGTATAGTTGTTGGCGCTGCCGCTTTTGTGGTTGTCTGGCAGTGGTAGAACTGAATATTTGCATACAATTTGTATACTCTTTTGTAGTGTCGAACAGCCTATGCAAAGATTTTTTTGTGAAGGGGCCGTGACTATTAATTTAGAAGCCAGTACAAATTTGGATTTACTTCGGTATTACAAATACAGATACAGTTAAGATTTATTTTAAAAATGGAATTTTAAGTTGATTATTGGAATAACAGCAACTAAATCTATTTAAAATGTATATGTTTAGATAATTAATACCTTTGAAAGACATTAAAACAGCAAATCACTCCCAAAAATCATAAAACCTACTCAACCAATTATATACCCAAACATATTTTCTTACATATTTTAGTTACCAAGCCAACACCATAGCTTCAAAGAGAGTATAATGAACTGTTCCTAGGACATTACGCTTCGCACTTAATGGGATCATGTGTTCAAGAACTAAAAGGGGTGAAGGATCAAGAAGGACAAGTGACGCCGCTTGGCGCTTGCCGACTTCCTGTGATAGGATCCATGGTCAGTCTGCTGTCACAGCCAATGGACAAACTGTGGCGGGCCATGAACTGGAGCCACTCACTCCACACCCAATCTCCCACACTAGATTCCGGCAGCTTCTTTCCATTTCGCTTGTTTTAAAAACAAGCCAATTATTTCTGAAAACTTTCTGACGGAGCGGCGGGTCGCGGGTAAAACAGATATGGGGTCGAGGACCTGGGATGACAGCCACTATGAAGCACTCAGTCGAAGCCAAATGTGGCAGGAAGAGAGGTAAACACACTTTGGAAAATACTTAATTTCATTTAATTTATTATTTAAATCACTAGCTAAATTGTAACTGCTTAAAACATAAATATATAAAATTTAAAGTTATCTTGAATTATCAACATGGACATGGATATTTCGGAAATGTTGAGTTCAAGACTATTTTCCCTTTGAGAGATTGCTTTTTACTTTCAGTGAAGAGACCATTTTCCATCCTTGCTGTGCTCCTCTTCATATCTGTCTTTTATTTTAAGTGGCTTTTACCAGAAACAAGGAGTGAAAGAGTAAAAGGTGGTAAAGTAAATAATTCCGTTTGTCGGTGATTGTATTTTTGTATCGAGCTTTTGCCATCATCGTCTGCCGTCCACTTTATAAACAGATGATAAATAAAATACAAACCAACTATATGTACGAGGTATAGGAACTACCAAGAGGGAAATATACAGGGGGGAAACCATAATTGCATTTATTATGCTGATAAAAACAGAGACACTGGTGAAGGGGTAAAAGGATCGCACACAGGACACAACAATGTGTGCGCGCTGGGAATGGCACAACCAACCACACGACGAGATTCCATGTGTGCGTCAGTGTTGTCAGCCATATTGCAGACTCACTGAAAAGGACCCGCAACGTTTGCTGCTCCTGGTCCTGCTGATGCTGCTGCTGCTGCTGCTGTTTTTGTTTGCAAATAAATTTAATAACGAGAATAATGCCACTAAAAATAATTCACACAAACACAAAGAGCAAGATACTGGTAAAATGGAGCCACTGCCGCTACGAGACAACAAAAAATTTAATTATTGAGTGCAACCGAGTACACACGCCCAAACACAGTTAATTATTGCAGGACCATGATCCCGGTTAAAAAGCCATTGGAACAAAACGTTCACCACAACAGGCACTCACCTTAAACACAGCCGAAGTGAAAAAGACCGGCAAAAGGATGAAGACCACTCCAGAGAGCACAATTTGCAGATTCAGCTCGGCCACGGGTTCAATTTTCCAGGGAATCAGTGAACAGCCTACAGATTTACAATATATAAAAGGTATTTTTATTTGCCCAATTAACAGTATAAACACTAATAATAATAAAAGAAACAAGTTTTTAGCACTAATCAATTATTTCGAACACAATAAAATACATTATACATTAAACTTTTTTTATGTAGTTCAATTAAAAATATATAAAATTCCATTTACATAAGTATTAGCATATTCAAATTAAATGGATTATTTTAACCCACAAAATCTTTAACACAACAATTTAAATTCACTTTTACTTGTTAGGCTTTTCACACCTCCAGAAAATGGATGTTAAAACAAGAAAGAAAGCAAACTTCGGCAAGCCGAAGTTCATATACCCTTGCAGCTATTGCATGAATTAAATACTTTTGAAAACATTTAAATTATGATTTACTTGAGTATATACTGAAAAACAGTGAAGCTAAGATGATTTGCAGCTCAATTATTAGATAGTTATTTTATATATTTTTATTAGTTCTATGGGAGCTATATGATATAGACGTCCGATTTTGATAAAATTTAAACCATAATTCTGAAATAATTAAACATTGCCATATGTCGAAGAACTAAACAAAAAATTAAACAAGAAAGAAAGCAAACTTTGGCAAGCCGAAGTTCATATACCCTTGCAGCTATTGCAAGAATTAAACATTTTTGAAAACATTAAAATTATAATTTACTTGCGTATAAGTTTAAAAACATTGAAGCTATGATGATTTGCAGCTCAATTATTTGATAGTTATTTTATATATTTTTATTGTTCCTATGGGAGCTATATGATATAGTCGTCCGACTTTGATGAAACTTAAACCGTAAATTGGAAATATTTAACCATTACTAAATGTCGAAGAACTAAACAAAAAATTAAAAAACAGAAAAGTTATAATTTTTTTCATTTATTTCTCCGATTGTTCCTATGGGAGCTATATGATATAGTCGTCCGACTTTGATGAAATTTAAACCGTAAATCGAAAATATTTAACCATTACTAAATGTCGAAGAATTAAACAAAAAATTAAAAAACAGAAAAGTTATAATTTTTTTTCATTTATTTTTCCGATTGTTCCTATGGGAGCTATATGCTATAGTCGTCCGATTTTGATGAAATTTTTACCATAATTCTGAAATATTTAACCATTGCTTTATGTCGAAGAACAAAACAAAAAATTAAAAAACAGCAAAGTTATAATTTTTTTCAATTATTTTTCCGATTGTTCCTATGGGGGCTATATGCTATAGTCGTCCGATTTTGATGAAATTTAAACCATAATTCTGAAATATATAACTATTGCTATATGTCGAAGAACTAAACAAAATATTAAAAAACAGCAAAGTTATAATTTTTTTTCATTTATTTTTCCGATTGTTCCTATGGGAGCTATATGCTATAGTCGTCCGATCCGGCTCGTTCCGACTTATATACTACCTGCAATAGAAAGACAACTTTTGGGAAAGTTTCATGCAGATAGCTTTAAAACTGAGAGACTAGTTTGCATATAAACGGACGGACAGACGGACAGACGGACAGACGGACGGACAGACGGACAGACGGACATGGCTAGATCGACTCGCCTAGTGATGCTGATCAAGAATATATATACTTTATAGGGTCGGAGATGTCTCCTTCACTGCGTTGCAAACTTCTGACTGAAATTATAATACCCTCTGCAAGGGTATAAAAACAGCAAAGTTATAATTATAATTATACCCTTGCAGAGGGTATTATAATTTCAGTCAGAAGTTTGCAACGCAGTGAAGGAGACGTTTCCGACCCTATAAAGTATATATATTCTTGATCAGCATCACTAGTAGAGTCGATCTAGCCATGTCCGTCTGTCCGTCCGTCTGTCCGTCTGTCCGTCCGTCTGTCCGTCTGTCCGTCTGTCCGTCTGTCCGTCCGTTTATATGCAAACTAGTCTCTCAGTTTTAAAGCTATCTGCATGAAACTTTCCCAAAAGTTGTCTTTCTATTGCAGGTAGTATATAAGTCGGAACGAGCCGGATCGGACGACTATAGCATATAGCTCCCATAGGAACAATCGGAAAAATAATTGAAAAAAAATTATAACTTTGCTGTTTTTTAATTTTTTGTTTAGTTCTTCGACATATAGCAATGGTTAAATATTTCAGAATTATGGTTTAAATTTCATCAAAATCGGACGACTATAGCATATAGCTCCCATAGGAACAATCGGAAAAATAATTGAAAAAAAATTATAACTTTGCTGTTTCTTAATTTTTTATTTTGTTCTTCGACATAAAGCAATGGTTAAATATTTCAGAATTATGGTTAAAATTTCATCAAAATCGGACGACTATAGCATATAGCTCCCATAGGAACAATGGGAAAAATAATTGAAAAAAAATTATAACTGCTGTTTTTTAATTTTTTGTTTAGTTCTTCGACATATAGCAATGGTTAAATATTTCAGAATTATGGTTTAAATTTCATCAAAATCGGACGACTATATCATATAGCTCCCATACAAATAATAAAAATATATAAAAGAACAATCAAATAATTAAGCTGCAAATCGTCATAGCTTCAATGTTTTTAAACATATACGCAAGTAAATCATAATTTTAATGTTTTCAAAAATATTTAATTCTTGCGATAGCTGCAAGGGTATATGAACTTCGGCTTGCCGAAGTTTGCTTTCTTTCTTGTTATATTATAATTTCAGTCAGAAGTTTGCAACGCAGTGAAGGAGACATCTCCGACCCTATAAAGTATATATATTCTTGATCAGCATCACTAGGCGAGTCGATCTAGCCATGTCCGTCTGTCCGTCTGTCCGTCCGTCTGTCCGTCCGTCTGTCCGTCTGTCCGTCCGTTTATATGCAAACTAGTCTCTCAGTTTTAAAGCTATCTGCATGAAACTTTCCCAAAAGTTGTCTTTCTATTGCAGGTAGTATATAAGTCGGAACGAGCCGGATCGGACGACTATAGCATATAGCTCCCATAGGAACAATCGGAAAAACAAATGAAAAAAAATTATAACTTTGCTGTTTTTTAATTTTTTGTTTAGTTCTTCGACATATAGCAATAGTTATATATTTCAGAATTATGGTTTAAATTTCATCAAAATCGGACGTCTATAGCATATAGCCCCCATAGGAACAATCGGAAAAATAATTGAAAAAAAATTATAACTTTGCTGTTTTTTAATTTTTTGTTTTGTTCTTCGACATAAAGCAATGGTTAAATATTTCAGAATTATGGTAAAAATTTCATCAAAATCGGACGACTATAGCATATAGCTCCCATAGGAACAATCGGAAAAATAAATGAAAAAAATTATAACTTTTCTGTTTTTTAATTTTTTGTTTAATTCTTCGACATTTAGTAATGGTTAAATATTTTCGATTTACGGTTTAAATTTCATCAAAGTCGGACGACTATATCATATAGCTCCCATAGGAACAATCGGAGAAATAAATGAAAAAAAATATAACTTTTCTGTTTTTTAATTTTTTGTTTAGTTCTTCGACATTTAGTAATGGTTAAATATTTCCAATTTACGGTTTAAGTTTCATCAAAGTCGGACGACTATATCATATAGCTCCCATAGGAACAATAAAAATATATAAAATAACTATCAAATAATTGAGCTGCAAATCATCATAGCTTCAATGTTTTTAAACTTATACGCAAGTAAATTATAATTTTAATGTTTTCAAAAATGTTTAATTCTTGCAATAGCTGCAAGGGTATATGAACTTCGGCTTGCCGAAGTTTGCTTTCTTTCTTGTTTTTTTTCATTTATTTTTCCGATTGTTCCTAGGGAGCTATATGCTATAGTCGTCCGATTTTGATGAAATTTAAACCGATATTCTGAAATATTTAACCATTACTAAATGTCGAAGAACTAAACAAAAGATTAAAAAACAGCAAAGTTATAATTTTTTTTCATTTATTTTTCCGATTGTTCCTATGGGAGCTATATGCTATAGTCGTCCGATCCGGCTCGTTCCGAATTATATACTACCTGCAATAGAAAGACAGCTTTTGGGAAAGTTTCATGCAGATAGCTTTAAAACTGAGAGACTAGTTTGCATATAAACGGACGGACAGACGGACAGACGGACGGACAGACGGACATGGCTAGATCGACTCGCCTAGTGAAGCTGATCAAGAATATATATACTTTATAGGGTCGGAGATGTCTCCTTCACTGCGTTGCAAACTTCTGACTGAAATTATAATACCCTCTGCAAGGGTATAATGAATTCCTCTTTTCACAAAAACTTTTGTACTGCATTTCTATTGGATTATAAATTCGAGAATTTTATGGTTAAAAGCAAACACTGATTCGCTCAACAGACATTAATATTAAAACCAATGAAAAAGCTAAAGAAAACTAAAACAAAAAACATGATTAGTTTGATAGTAGTTGCGTAAACTCACCCAGGAACCTGTAGGCTCCATGCATGGCCAAGTATCCCTGGAACAGGGTGAGTAGCACCCCATACCAGATGGACCAGAGCGAGTTGAGGTGCAGATAGCTGCCGGAATCGTGGCCGGAGTGCTGGAGACTGGTGTAGCGGCTCTGATGGCGCTTCGACTTGATGTACTTGGCCTGCAGCTGCTGCTGCTGCTGGGTGAGGCTACTGCTGGCCGTGGTGGCACTCGTCATCACCGAGTTGCACAGGCTTGAGTTGTTGCTGCCGCCGCCTCCGGAGGAGACTCCTCCGGCTGCAGATCCCTGATGCTTGCCACCCATTCTCGCTGGGAGATTCGTCTTTGTTTGGCTTTCAATGCTCCGCTGGTTTTTGTTGCTACACGGGTTTTTATCACTCTCCGCGACAGCGAATAATGTTGACAATCAATTTCTGTCTATTGCCCCGCACTATTTATATTGATTTTGTATTGATTCTGAACACTGATTTTCTATTTACTCAAGTGCTGCTGCTGCTGCTGCTGTTGCTGCTGATGATGATAATGATGTTGCTGCTGCTCATTGTTTTGGCCATTTCCCATTCCAGTGGCTGGCGACGTGGATAATATTTGTTCGCTGATATGGCTCATTATAGCGGCCAACGATTCTATTTGCTGGCGCATATTTGTGGAAATTCGGGTCGTTTTCCCACACTTTGATTGACACTGATTTGCTGAGTCTGCAATCACAGAGGGCAAAATAAATGTGAAAATTAGTTGGGATCAGAATAAATCGTATACAATTTTGGAAATATAAATAACTTAGAGAATTAAATGTTAATTTACTCTTCAGCCACAGAATAATTGCAAATTTAATACTAAATCGATGAAAAGGTGAGCGTGTTACATAATCTAGCAGAGCGTTAAACAAAAATGAACAAAATACATATTTATTTAAATTAAAGTGTCATCAGTATTTTACAATAGAAATATATAGTGGAGTGCGATAAATATTTATTTTATCAAATTGCAAAATCATCAAAATAAACCCACAAAACAATCCGCCTGCAGTTCTTTTGTAATTCTATTTTTTTTATTAACCATTCTATTAATTCTATTAAACGTTTATCAATCTGCGAATCGTTAAAAATTTTCATGACATTTGTAAGACCCATTAAAACCATAAATAATTAATCATCGAGCGCAAATCCGAACCGTGTTTTAATTAGTCACATGCGGGTTTGTTGCTCTTTTTGCTACTGGCCCATGGCCAAATTGACGCGTTAAAATTGCCAACCATTTCAATAAGATTACAGCTCCCAAACGAATGCCAGGAAGGGGTTAAACTATAAATCAATCCGCTGGGGGAAATGGTAGAGAAATTGCAGACCGTACGGTGTCTATAAACCAATTTGGCACACGAGAGTTGGAGTTCCTGCTGCTTTTGGGCGTTGGGTGTTGGATATTGCTTTTGCTGTTGCTGCTGGGTGTCGCATGTTGCTGTTGGGTGTTGCTGGCGCTGTTGGCTGTCGCATAATTAAGGCAACACTCGTTGCCAGACAGACCATTGCGTCGGAAGAGATGCACCGGGGGAATGGCCGAGTCATAGGTGGATATTCCAGGGAGAAGCGTCCTTTGTCTGGGCTCTTGTTTAATGCGTCGCGCCTCGTATTCTGCCACGTCGAAAGCAGCATAATTATAGGCCAAAAAGACACTTGCCAAAAAATAAATATTTATAAAACAAGATTAAAAGATAACTATTTTTAGCCGAAATTAAAAAAATTTGCATATAAATTAGACTTAAGAAGTAGTCACTTTCTTTCGAAACGATTTAATTTTGTATTATTTTTATTTAAAGATTTTTTTACAGAAAATATGAATAGAAGATCTACTTTGGAAACGTATTAACATTTAATTTGTTATATTGGTCAGAAAAAAGTGTCTGGGCAATGATTTAAATTATCTTTAATAACGTTGTTCACATCAAATCTTCACCTCATTTTTGTTTTTTGTGAAGATTGCTTCAGTGTACTTGATTCTGCTTCCTGGGTGTGAGACAGGTAAACTATTTGCAGCTTTGCGTGTTGCAGTTGAAACTAACATATGTAGAGCCGTTAACATCTATGCCGCCTTTCAGCATATGTTGCGTTTTGTTCAGCACAACCGCGAGTTGGCCGAAAGGGAAATGGGAAACGCAGTTCCTTGGTCTTCCTTCGATTTTCCACTCCTGTTTGCCATGCAAAAATAATAAAATGTTTGCAATTTGTTCGCGTCGACGTTGTTTGTAATTAAACCGTGTTGCAACAACAAAGTTAACAAATGGGCGGGAATGTACCTTTATATGCGTTCTTCTCGCAGCTCAGTAATTGACCCGATTTAATTGATAATGGCTGTTGTGAACAACGTAATGTCAATGGCACAAGCGACAACGAAATTGTATTTAAATCAGAATATCAGTTAAACAACTGCAGTAAAAAATGGTAAAGCAAAAATAAGTATATTCCATAGCAACATTGAAATTCTCGCTTTAAGAGAGGTTGTAAATAATTACAATTAGCTAGGACTAGTTATGACTTCATTATTTTTTATATTATCCCTTCAACGGAATTTTCTTGGAAATTAATATTCTGCGTCTGAAAGTATACAAACACTAATAAATTTAGTAAATTCTCAATTGCTAATTCATCCTTAAAACATAATATACTTGACGTATACCCACAATCTGCTACCTTATTTACACAAAATCTAGAAGCAATTCAAACATCGTTAGCCATGATCCTGTAAGTCATCTTCCGTTTACGAGAACCTCATGTTGATATTAATTTTATGTTAATTACAATCTACACTACTCTCCACAACAACGAGTTCTGTTTCATCTTGGATGTCGGCTAAACATTGGAGTTCCGGGGGCCATGTGGTTGCGTCCCGGGGAAATGAAGGGTGGTTAATGTTCATCCAAGGAAACCAATCCTGGTACTCCCTCGACTTCCTTCCTCCTTCCTGTTTTAACATACTCAACATCAGATTAGCCAGACGCAAAAGTCATAAATGCAGATGTTTACATTTCTTTTTCCCGCTTCAGCTTCTCTCTACAGTGGCTTTCCTTTGGGGCATTTTCTTTGTCTTTTGTCGGTGCAGCTGGTGGGTGGGATTGTTTGGGGGTGGTTGAAGTGGGAGGCGATGTTTTTGGGAGCCAGTCAAGAAGATAGGACAAGAACTTTGCCCCTGTCCTGGGGGCATATTGTCGCGTTCGCACGACTTTTACGCAGATGAAACAGCCACTTTATGAGCTTCAAGAGGTGTGTGGGTACACAGAAAAAATATAAATAAATTTGAATAAATTTAATAAAGGTTTTTAAAACAGTTTTCCTTTCGCTTCAAAGAATACAAACCAATGACAAAACAATCACATGCTTAATAGTTCCTCTGAAAAACAGTGCAATTTTGGAGTTAGTTAATTTTTTTAAATAACTAAAATGTACAATTTTTCTCTGTGCATTTGTGTTTGTGCCTGAAATTTACTTTGTGTGTCCTGGCTCAAATTTGAAATGTTTTGCTCGGGAAGCAGAGGAAGATAACGTTGCTCTTCATCGTTTTTTCCACCCCACTCCTGGTGTTAATGCAAATTAAAAACTTCACTCAACTGCATTTATTTGGTTAGCACAGTTCTGCGCCTTGTACACCTTTTGCTCCGCTTTCGCATACACCACATCGTCTGCTTACTCCATTTGTGTGACTCATTTGGTTGGGTTTTCTTGTTTTCCCCCTCTAGAGGCGCAGACTGGGGTTTACTTATACATTCCGACCCCAAAAACAGGGAAAGATACAACAAAATATGCTAAATGGTACTTGGCACCCACACAGTCCCCCTCTCGTACCACAGAACCATCCCCTCAAACTTGAGACTCACACATTGCCTGTGGCATGCTCAAGTGGGTCACTCCGGCTAATTTATATGGGCAAGCAGCTTCTTTCATTCCACTTCTGCTTCATTTGTTTCGTTCTGAACAACCCCCCTTCGTTACGAACTCCCCCTTTTGTTTTTGATGGCCGAATGGTCACTGCTGAAGAGCTGGACAAAGAAAAACATTCACAATTTTCGTCTTTGTGCAATTTCCATGCTTCTTATATATTTATTTAAGCTGCCATTGAGATGGCTTTTCTGCTTTTTCACAAAATTTTGCATAAATGAAAAAAGTTGCATTTTTCTCGCCGCATCATTTACGCTCGTCCTTTTTTCTTCTTTAAAAATCAAACACAATGGAAACTCGCTTTCTTCTGCTGCATCGAGCCAGTTGGTTTTGTTACTGGAAGCGTGACAAATGTGAGCACACTGAGAACACAAATTATGATAAATAACTAAAGTTAAACAAAAATAAGAATAAAAAGGAAAATGTAAACCCTTTTAAAACGTATTAAAAATTAAATAACAAAATTTTCGGAGGGGGTCTTGTGTCTTAACATTATTACATATTACCAATTTTATAAACTTAGAGCGAACTTTTTATTTAACTGCAGCATATTTACTCTGGCAACCGAAATCCCCCCTCTGCAACATCGTGACTCACTTGTTAAATGTATTTTCAGCTAGAGTCGCCAACAAACAGCGACAAAGGAAAAGAAGAAGAATTTATTTTCTGCATTGGCTGGCAAAAGTTTTTGGCTATACTTGGTGGTGGGGGCAAGGAGGGTTGCACGTGCCATGTTTTGAATTGGATTTACACATGTGCCGAGTTAATACGTGTTACCACTCCTTTTCCACCGTCTGATGACATTTTTTTCAATTTTAACTTTTCAGCTAGCAATATGTGAGTAAGCTTAAAATGTGTTGCCGACTTTTTGGGGCAGCCGAAAAATTCACAAAAATTTCAACTGAAAATAGGTACAATTAATTTTGATTTATTATGCGCGGTAGTATACGCGGACCTACACTAAAATTATGTAAAACTCGACCAAACATAACTCAAATACTGTTATTAATATCAATTTTTTTTTATTTTGTATAGGGTTAGTTGGTGTGCAACTAGGTCATAAGCGCCCTGGGAAACCAGAAATCACCAAAATAAAAGTAAACAACAGCCAAATACAGACACGAGGGAGTGGAAAAATTTATGACTGCAATTAAATCGCTACCAGCGGAAAATAAAATTAAAATAAAACATAATAAACTCTATAAATTAGAATGCGAATCGCATAAAATGGCACCAAATGAATGCTGAGCACATTGTCTGCATGTAAATTATCGCGTTTTCGAACACTGTACTGCACCACCACCCAAAAACTCAAGCCACCCAAAGCCAAGGCAACAACAAATGAGCCACATGCCACCACTTGCAGAAGGGCTAAGCCAAATATCGCGTTGAAATGTTACCAATTTTGAGAGCGCTTAAATTGCGTTACACGGGAAATGGTGGTAAACGAGGGGTTCCAAGTATGAGGGATGTGGACTCCCTTTTCTGGGCCACCACTCCACCCCACGGACGTTCTGTCGCTTGCATTCCCAAGGAGTACTTGCCCCCGGGTTCCGGGTCGTAAAAATATCGGGGAATTTATCGCATTCGAATGGATTTTTCGAAGGGTAAAAACCCGGAAGGGTGTGTTGCCCTGTTATTGTGCAATCGTCGTAGTCAGCGGTTTGTTGTTGTGCACATTGCATGAGTGAGTTTGGCAGGCCCAGAAAATATTCAAAGCGAAAACTTTTGCCGCTTAAGAAAATCGATGAATCCCACGAACAACGTCA